GGCCTACAGTTAAATGAATATCACAAATGAACAGCAGAACAACAACATATGAATGCAAAACAAAATATAGGAATATGACTAAAAAATGACATTGCAGCATGACTGTGCTGTTCGGTAAAGCCTATTCGCTATTTAAGAAGCGTATTCTAGTAAAATATAATTAAATACTTTATATACTTTTCCAGTCTCTCCTAAACACCTGTCTTTTCCTCTCTTGTTAGTATTAGTTAGTTAGTGAGTTGGTTCTTTCTTTCTCTCTCTCTCTCTCTCCGAGTTTTTAAGAAGTGTAGTGCAGCATGAACCAATACAGGTAGAAACAGAGCTAAGCCCAACTATATGCTAAAATATATTGATTCGATTTATCGTATTACACAACAGTATGAAAATAACGAATGCAAAAAAGAGGCAGACATTAAGGTGAAAAAGAAGAGAGAAGTAACTTAGTACGGACCTGATGCAAGTAGCACTTTCGATAACCAGTCTTGATATAACTTCTGTTGTGATATTCACACTGATTTTCCCCACTGTATGTAGTAATTCGTGCTATAATAATGAATAAGGTTTAAAAAAAAGCTGTCATGGCAGAGTTGAAATTAACTGTCTGAGAATCGCCTATCCGGGACTCTACCATACTGAGGTGTGTAACTTGACTGGTAATCAAGTTCACATTTCCTTTCAGTCACTAAATTTTTTCCAAAAAATATCACTTAAATCAGTCAGAAAAATAATGATTTCAATGCATTACTGATCTACGAGACCTGACTGCTGACTTGGTTTTTATTTCACTTCAGTTGGTAGAACGCCGAACCAGAAACCCGGTGGCCGCTGGTTCGAACCCCGCCTTGGTCTAAATTTTCACTTTGCCTTCAATCATCATACCACCCTGTATCAATACTAGTCTACTAAACCAGATAGTCAAAATGAAAACTTTAATTAGCTAGAGAAAGTAAATGATTACTTAATAAAATTGAATCTTTTTGGAATACATTTGTTTCACAAGTTGAAGTGAAACAACCTTTCGACGCATATTATCTGTTTACCGAGAATTGACGGATTTCAAAATAGTTTCCACTTTGAACTAATATCAGCTGAAAAACCACTGGATATCTATAAGCCTTTGTCTAGGACTATTCAGCAGTGTGTATACTCTTGACATTATGAGGAATCGACTCTAGGGTCATCCGGTTTCATGGTGAGCAGATTATCATTCAGCCATTAGGCTAAAACTCACTGGTCCATGTTTCTCTACCTGTATCGACTTTCGACATGACGCAACGCAATAAAAAAGCTCAGTATTAGTGTTCTGCAATGAGATTCGATAGTCGTGGGCTCGATCCCTCACAGGGATGTGGATGCGTACTGCTGAGGATTCCTAAGCCAGGGTAAGTTAGTTGTCCTGTTTCCCTAGATTTCCAGTGGTTCTTTAGCTGTCACTACATGGTGAAAACTACCTGATGAGTGAATTCTATTTTTTGAGGTTCACATTAGTTTAATTTAAGTATAAAACTTTTCATTATCATTCTAGTGAGCTATGTAGCTTGTACTAAAGAATAAGTACATATGTTGACGTCTAGCTGGTGGCTAGCAGTGGGACCGAGGACGTGCATTTCGTCCTATTTGGGATTTGTCAGCTGCATGTACTTGCACCCCAGCGAGTGATATTGTTTCCATTGAGATTCGAACCTCTTATCCATCGCTTCAAACACTAAAGTGTTATTCACCAGGCCACTGGGGCACAAGAGCCACAAGTAGATAATTATGATAGAATATGAACATAAGTTTACAAAGTAATCTGTGGCACTACTTCCCTTACTTCATATCTCCATTTTATTGATATTGTTCCGTTACTTTTAAGACAAACATAATGATACGTAGGTATCTTCTAAGTGTTATGCATGTAAACACACAACGGCTAGGTGTACAAGATAATTAAATTAAATCCAACCAGTACACCTAATTTAGTCCTAAAGGAAGTCAATTGCGGCCCGAATATCTCATTGATAATGTCTCTCATTGCAGCACTGGGTGACACGGGTTTGAGTCTCAGGTGGGACATCAGTTCCACCGAGATTGCAAATACGCGTTTCTTGTGGCGTGCCAACAAGCACGAAACCTAGGTTGACGAAGACTTCTTACCGACTGTCTCTATCTAACTAATGTCTCTCCCAGTGCATCGCGATGGTGAGTCTCCTAGCTTGGTGTTCACATTCCAAATTGATCAATAGAGTCCGATCAGCACTTAGGACTAGACAACATAAAGTTGGTTACCCTCCGGTGACCAGTCAATGTAATTAAATTCGAGTCAGTTTTTTTAAATCACAAAATGAGGTCAGTCGAGAAAATCAAACACGTTATTCTGGGAGTGTTTGTTAGCCCCTGTGTGATTTTCTTGATAACTCTGAGATCATTCAGTGACAATTTTATAGGCGCTTAATCTTTTATTCGAGTATATTGGTATAATAGACGTGAATCGCATGTGTAACTTGATCAACTTACGAATAAAAAAATGGAATTTAACAGTAAACCGGAAGTTGACCTCTTATCAGTTAAGTTTGAAGGATGACGATTGAGTTAAATCTGATAACTGATCCGTTGGTAACATCACGACCATATATTCAATGAACTAGGTACTAGCAACGATCAGTTGTATACATTGTTGGTGTGAGCCGGAGCAAGGCAGCCTCAAGCAATGATGATAACAGAGCTTCACCAAATTTACTCTGGTTTTCGGTTGCTTTTTTAGAAGGCGGAGAGTGGGTGTTAGATCTGCCTTCAAGTTAATGAAGGCGAAATTGTGCAATTCTTGTATTGGATTGTCTGTTTACCGTATCATCATTATTAAGACTGTAATTACCGTTGTTTTAATAATTCCAGCCTGTAACTAACTTATCATAACTGATAAGAATAGTGTAAACAACTTCCAACATAAACAAAAGATTCGTAGTAGTAATAGTTTGTCATTCTAATAAGTCAGTTTTTCTGCTCATTTTTGTTCATTTCTGATCCCAATTTTCTTTTTTAATGCTTCTTTCCCAAAAATGTCTGGGCGAAATACGCACTTGTGGTTTGTTTGCATGATGGCTGTTATAATTTTCTGTATGCATACATTTCCTCCCCATAAAACTATATGATAATCTGCTTTAAATATAATATTGATGATGCTGATAACGATTACTGTTGGCTATGGTATATCATGTTGCTCCAGACTTGCCAGTCATTTGCTAGCATTGTGTTTAATCGACCGTGTTTGTATTAGATCACTTATTTCATTACTCTTCTTCCCTTTTCCCCTATTTTCTCATCTCTTATTCATTTCTACTATTCTTTTTACCATCCCAGTTCGCCTTATTTACGTTATTTTCTTCTTCGATCTATTTAGCTTTCCTCATTCTTCTGTGTATTTGGGCCTGTGTTACAGTCTGGTAGCTGTCGTTAGGGTATGATGGATCTCGGTCATTTTCAGTGAACAACAAACGCTGGTTTGATCACTTACGTGTAGTCACTTTGTTTCTTACAATGCATAAACTTTTATTCTGCTGTCTTTTACATATAAGGTTTGATAATGCAAAAAAATCTTCGCTTCCTAATATCTTGCATGTGAATGATATATTTATCATCTTAGATTGCATTCTCTGTGTTCTCTCTTTCGATTCCTTTATGCAAAAAGGAGAAAGAAAGAGAACAAAAACTGTATGGCTGTTCTTCCAATTTACTCTCAGTTCTCTAGTTGATTTTATTTTTTCTCATCGCCTATCACAATACACTCAGTCAACACCACACGCACATTTAACTAAATTCATCGTTATAGCTAAATTGATGAGTAGTTAGCGCTAGGCTGTGGGGGTGAGGGGTTCGCGTTTGAAATGTGTATTTTTTTTATAGCACAACTACTACAAGTGTCACATTATGACCTAGTGATATCGGTGATAGTAATGGTAATGTAATGTAATATTGTTATATTCATCCATTCATTCTTTTATTTTAGTCATCATTGTTCTCTTTAGTACATTTTTTGAATTATTTGGCAATGGAGACAATTTCATTCGTTTAACCCCTTGACATCTTGAATTGTCTGTCATTTTTATTTCGAAGAAAAAAAAGCCTCTTACACTTTTTTCAGTAATATGGGTAAATAAAAAAATTCTATACAATAAATGAAATTGTTCTTCTATTATTATTATGATTATTATCAGCATTGCCTTCATCAAGTGGAAGTGTACATATATTTACCTGCGTCAATACTACTTGCCTGTCATTTAAGTAGCTAACTTTTAGTAAAAAAGATCAATGACGTAGACACAGATCTTATAGGTCCTTCGTGAACGAAAATTAGTCAACTCGTCAACGTATCTATAATTAAGGGTTGTAGTGACTGTCTCATCATTCTGCTTTTCTTTATTTTCACGAATCGACTACTGGGTATTTATGTTTTTTTAATTTGCCTATTTATTATTAATCTGTAATTTGCATGCTCTGATGATAGCTTGCTTTTTGCGTGCCTTTTTTCCCTTTCGGTCTATCTTTGTCTAACTTTGAATCCCGTGACGCGCGTACTTCTCGGCTCTGATGCACGTGGTCTTGTGTTCTGCAATACGTGAATATGTGTATGTATACATGCACAAATACACTCGCTTACAATCATATACAAAATAAACATATACTGATTCATGTTCAATATGTTGACATATCCATTGGTATATTCACTCAATTGTTCTCATTCCTCCTTGAATGCTACTGATCGATACGAATGGATACGCAATGATGGCGACGACAACAATATCCCTTTAACCACTTGGCAAAATATGTTTCACTATTTTCACCACATCTACTGTGAATCTCATGATATGATGCTTGATGGTTTTCTGGATCACTTACCGGTGTGTGAAATATACCACCAATGTTCAATGTGACGCCGTGATCTATTTTTTTTCCCGGTTCTTATTCTGAATTCTTGGCGTCTTTTTTTCCATACCCTTCCTTTGGGTGTCATCTTTAAAAAGGTGGAATTATTAACACCATGTCGAGATGTTGCTATTGGACTACGTAGTTTATTTCTTTCAGCTGGTAAAGTTCAAGGACTTTCGTCTATCGATCCTGTTTACGATGAAGTTAGATCAAACGCTCAAGTGAGTAGTAAATTTATCTTTTTTTCTTTCGCTCTTAATAAGTGGTCTCTACACAACGGTCATTTTATTATTCCTTGTAATACAACATAAGAGTATAACTCCCCCCTAATTTGGCGTTTGAAGCGATGGGTACGAGGTTCAAGCCTCACTGAGAACATCACTCACTGGGAGTACATTTCCACCCAGCTGATCAGCCCCAAATAGGACTAAGCGCGGGTCCTGCATTCCACAGCTAGCCACAGAGACGAATATAATTTCATGTTAGTTTTATTTATTTAACAGAGTACACAGTGAATGGTGCAGTGTAACTATAGATAATCTCCAAATAACTAACTAATACGGAATCGTACTCAATCATAGAGCTTGTATCATTAAGATTAGATTGATCATTACTATATGTGAACTCATTGATAATACAATTGCATTATTGTTATAAGTTTGTCGTATCACAAGAAACATTTTGATTGGTTGACAAAGTAGAAAAGTCTAGAAGCTTGGATAGCACTACCCCCGTACTTCTTGGCGTTCATGGGTCATCAAATAGCAATCTACACCTTCTTGTCTAGTTCGTCATCCTGATCGAGTTTTAATAATCAAAAACCAAACAGCAGCGAGACCTGACATTTAGTTTATTCCCAGGTGGTTGAGAGTATTCAATGAGAATCAATTTCCTCAAGATTTGAGATACGCATCTTGTGGAGTGTTTCCAACAGGCACCAAACTTAGGTTCCGAGTTTCTTGCTGAAACTAGTCATTTTTTATCATTTGACACATATGAACTTCACACAATAGGGAAAACCAACTGAATACATTATAAATTTGGAGCAAGGGTGTTTGAGGTGAACGCATGGTGTCTATCTGAACCTATGTTACCTTTAGTATCATCAACTGTTAAGTTTAAGCAAAAACACAAATCTGCAATCAACAGAATCTATGAATTAATGCCGCATTTAACTGTTCAGAGGTTTCATTATTATCATACTCGAAACATAGATGGTTTCATATGAAGGTAGGTATTGTGTGAGAATGTTCTGCATATCGCACTTGGTCGATTATAACTTCATCAACTGTTTTGTCGCTTTTATTCATAAGTGGTGAAGTAGCCACCTAAAAAAGGAGATTTTGGAGAGCTATTTTAAAATTTGGTTTATATTACCATGCTTTGTTTCTTCGTGTCAGCTTTCCAAAAGAAATTGACTTAGTTCGATATCACTTTTTAGCTCATTGACCCTTGTTTTACAAGGCCAGTGAATTTTTCGTATTACTAAAAACAAAAACACTAGTGTGCTTCTGTTTTTTCATTATCATAAATAGTACACAGATATGCTGTAAATCAGCTATTTCTTCTGCATATTTTATTTTAAAATTATGATGGAATATTGTGGAGACCTATTGATTCACCACGCTTGTGTGGCACATATTAATGGTTGTAGTAGTAGTAGAAGTGTAGTGGGCGTTGCTCATCATCATCATCATCATTATCAACATAGGACCAGGCATTACTGCGTAACGGTCCGAGTTGCCACACCTCATATCAGCACATCAAGTAAAAAGGTAGTGAGGTGAAGGATGAAGATAAGTGAATGCAGTCAAAAGAAATATAAAGTATGAGAAGAAAGGAAAGAGGAGTGACAAAATAGTGAGATTCGGTATAGCGTTGTTAAGATGAGGATAATGTGTGTATACATCTGCGCCACTGACTTCGGTTCTGAGCCATATCACCTAGGGTCTCCAACCACTGGTTCCTCTTGTCCCGTGGACCCCAACCACCTAGTCTGCATCGTCCTACATGGCTTAAACCAACAGTCAGAGACTTCATACATTGGTGCCATGTTTTAGTCTGGCCACCTCGGGCCTTTTTCCAGCCTGAACCCACCTCAGCCAACATTGTGTGACGAGGCAATCGGTGACTAGGCATACGTAGTACGTGTCCCAACCATCTCAGTCGATGAAGGTTCACAACCTCGTCGACTGACTTACCTCTTCTCCCTAAAACTCTACACCTAACTTCTGCATTACTCACATGGTGACACCACGGAATACGTCCTATACTACGAAGGCAACGGTGGTCAAATACCTGTAACCTTCTCATGTCTTCCACTTTCAATGGCCATGTTTCACAGCCATACAGTAGAACAGAGCGGACTGCTGTGCAGTACACGCGACCCTTAATAGACAAACGAATATCACGGCGGCGCCATAGGTGGCGCAAATTGGCAAAAGCCAATCGAGCCTTTTGTATCCGTGCAGAAATCTCATCGGCAACTAACCCACCGGAGTTGATCCTACTTCCCAGGTAAGTGAAGTGGTCAACACACTCAACCACTTCACTCTCTATTGTTAACCGCGGTACCGCTGAAGACCAGTCCTGGAGCAAAAATTTGCATTTGGGTGGTGAAAATCGCATCCCAAACATTCTCAAATTCCCACTCAAAGTGTTCAGAAGACTCTGCATCTTGTCAGCGTCTTCACCTAACAGGACTATGTCATCTGCATATTCTAGATCTAAGGAAAATTCACCTGTGATCCGGTCAACGTCTTTGTAATTAGGTGACGAGAGGGAAACCTCCATAAGAATATCTATGATAAAATTAAATAAGAATGGGGATAGTGGGCATCCTTGACGGACACCACTTGATGAGTATAGCTCCCTGGACAACTCACCATAGGCTCTAACATGCCCACAAGTGTTCGAGTAGAGAGCTTTCAATAAGGTGATGTACTTACTAGGCACGCCTTTCAGTGACAGACACTGCCATAAGACTTCTCGATCAACGGAGTCAAATGCCGCCTTCAGGTCGAGAAATACAGCTATTGTCGGGCGTCTGTAAGCATGCCTATGTTCCAGGACCTGGCGCAGTGTGAATATTTGGTCGATACATCCACGGCCAGGTCTAAAGCCTGCCTGGTTTTCTCGGGCTTGCTGTTCCCGAGCTCCACTCAGGCGTCGGAGAATTATAGAACTTAGGATCTTAGACACTATGTTTGTCAGGCTGATTCCTCTGTGGTTATCACAAGAGGACTTCTCGCCTTTCTTGAAGACTGGGATGATCAGTGACTTAGACCAGTCGGAGGGGATCGTATTTGATTCCCATATACTGGCTAACACTTCCGTTAGCCTGACTAAGAGAACTCTACCACCATTCTTGTATACCTCAGCAGGTAGTCCGTCTGGTCCTGCTGCCCTTCCCGTTTCAGGCTACCTACCGCTTTCTCAACTTCTTCTAGTGTTGGGGGACCTGTCTCTATGTCCCATTCAGGGTCCGACTGGATAGCGGGCAGCGCAATGGTGGCTGGAGGCCAGTTAAACTGTTCCTCAAAGTGTTCTGCCCATCGTCCCAGTCGCCTTCCCTGCGAGTGAATCGCCGATCCGTCCTTCTCCGCTATAACCTCACTAACTGTTGTTGACCATTTCCCCCCAGTCTCCTTAATAAGTCTAAATAACTGTCTACTGTTACCGATCGCCGCTGCCTTTTCCATCTCTTTAGCCTTTGCTGCCCACCACTGTTCACGATCGTTGCGCAGACTTTTCGTCAGTTTATTTTTAAGTTGCGCTCGCTCTTCATTGTACTCAGAGCCTGCAGGGATGCATTCACGTGCATCCATTAGTTTGGAAGAAGCTGCTGATATCCACTGGCTCTTTTTAGCCATTATCTTGGAGTCGGCTACAGTCTCCAGTGCTGCTTTTACAGTAGACTGAAGATGGCACCAAGCTTCTTCTGGATGAGTGACAGTCTTTTGTTCCGATAACTGCCTAGCCAACTTCTCACTGAACACGGCTTTGGTGTTTTCGTTGTCCAGCAGAACTCGTAGTGGTTTTGTTGCCAAATTTTTTCTACGTCCATTGAGACGCAGGCATATACGTGCTCGGACCAACGCATGATCGCTGTCCAAACACGTACTCCAGAAGGAGCGGCAGTCTTCCACCGATCCTCTCCAGCGATGACTAATAGCAATGTGGTCTATCTGTGTCCATCGCTGAGTCGAGCTCGGTGGACGCCAGGTCAGACAGTGCCTTTCTTTATGTCTGAAATTTGTGCTGGCTAAAAATAGGCGGTTATCTGAGCATAGTTGTAATAGGCGATCACCGTTATCTGTACGTTCAGCTGGGATTCCGAAAGTGCCACCTAAGTGCCTTTCTGCCTCACTCAGTCTACCCACCTGTGCGTTGAGGTCACCTGCAACAACCACTACGTCCGAACGTTTGGCTTTCGAGAGGAGGTTAGACAGTTTATGGTAGAACTCGTCCTTCACTTCATCCGAACTACAGTCAGTGGGTGCGTAAGCAGAGATTACAAAGAGACAACGGCGAGTCTCACTATTCCTTTTAGTTCTCACTGTGCCGTTCAGCCTCATAGCGCAGAGGCGACTATCAACTGGGATCCAGTCTAGTAGTGAGTTTTCTGCCCTGGTGCTTAATGCTATACCTACACCTGCAAGACCACGAGAGCTAGCTATCGAATCTCCAGAAACTCGAAGGGTGAATTTTGCAGATTCACCAGATTGGTCAGGAGAGGTCAGGTGAATAACCACACTTGGGTCCTGTATGCGTGTCTCACAAACACAGCACACATCCATGCCTCGAGTTGCTAGAGTCTTTGCCAACGAAGCCTGTTGGCCAATTTGACGGAGGGTGCGGACATTGAAGGCTCCAATATGTAATTTGGAGCGTGGTTTAAGGAGACCAGGGACACTGTTCTGTGGACTCAGATCGTTGTCGAAGGCTGCAGAGGTAGGAGAAATTGAAGATGATGCAGCATCATTAATTAAGAGACGTGAAGGAAGATTAGAAGGTAATGATGGAGGAGGAGGATAGCAGTCAGAAGAAACTTGGGTGCTGACAGAGTTGTGAGGGCGGTTGACACTTCCCGGCTGCCCACACCGTGGAAGGCTATTTCTTCTTAAGGTACCTGAAAGAGATTTGTGTGACCGCAGAGCCCATCGGACATCTGCTTGAGGCCTGTCACACCCAGCCTTTTGAGTATGATTATTTTGAATTTTTGTATTTTTGGGGCCGGATGAGCGAAAGGAAACGACAAGTGAACCAACACCGCCGGCCCGGCAGACCGTGGGGCGTGGTGGAGTGTGTTATTTTTGGGGCCGACCTTTTCTAACCCCCCCTTCCACTGAGAAGGCAGCATCAGCTTGGCACTGCTGGTCATCCAAGGGAAACACCTTACTGCTGTCACACCCCATCCAGCTAGCAGCAGTACGACTTCGCCCTCAGACCCCCATCATAGTGTAGCAATTTACACTATGACGGTAACTGCTTTTCGTCTAACCACTACCCAACAGACCTTTCTGGTATGGTAGGACCTCGAGGGAACAAGCGTTCCACCAGCATAGCTCGTTGGGTCATTGTGATATGCAAGCCCGACCACCACGTCAAGGTAGCAGCTATCGGTCGGGGCGTTGCTCATCGGAATGGATATAAGTAGTATATGTTGAGAGGGCAGCAGAAATCATAGACAATTATCAGCAATGGGTAAAGATCCTACCCAGAGAAACGCAACAGACAATGTAGGTGTATTAATAGCAAATCAAGATAGAAGCAGGAGAGGAAATGAAGCACATTGTGCAAATGACTGTCTTAGTAGGTGTGCAATATTTTATGACTACTGTACAAGATGTCAATAATAAACATTCTTTCCTTCGTTTCTGTAGTGTAGTAGCGCCTCTGAAAAACATCAGTCTCGCAAAAGATCGACAGTTTGTAATGAAGAACTCTCAATATTCTTCTCTAGATGGAGTGTATATATCTATCGTAGAAGAGCTTCTAAAAGTTGTTTCGTAGTGTTTTCAGGATACTTTACCGTCAGTTAAGGCAGAAAGCACCAATATGAATGGTCGAGAAATTACGAAGAAAGTAGTGGAAAGTCATAAAACGAAAGGAAGAAGGGATAAAATACTAACAGACAATACGTGAGGCTACAATGGTAGCAGTAGTCTAACATGTGGAGCCTTCTCATATATGCCATCTTTAATTGCATTTTTCACATCCATCTAGTAGAACAGAGTAAACTGTAACGCAGTACAGTCGAACATAAGAAATAATCAGATGTCACACCAGTATCATTGACAGTCTAGGTCGACAACATTCAGTCGAACCTTCTATTTCCCTGCTGATATTTGATCGGTCAGTGACCCACCGAAGTTGATGCTACTTCCTAAGCAGTTGAAGTGTTCAACGCCCACAACCACTTCATTAATGCAAACCAGTCCTTGATAGTGAGTTTGTATTTGAGTGATGATAAACGATTCCGAACCATTCTCAAATCACCAGTCAATATATCCAGGAGACTACAACTTGTCAACAACTTCATCTAACAGAACTGTATCATGTGCGCGTACTCCAGATCTACTGAGAAGTATTTTATAACATTACGATGACTGAAAATTTTACTTGTTGTTAGGTAGTTAAATACAATGACTAAATCCCATCGAGTTGTATCTACAACCTCGGCAAATCTTGTGTTTCCTAAAAAAAGTTAAACCGGTGTCTTTTACTTCTACAGTGAAAGTTATCTCAGTGAATCCTGAGTCCCTTAACCACTGTATTGAACCACTTGGTTAACGAATTTTATTTCCCACTCAAATTTTGTCGCCTTATCTATTCTCTTTTCTTCTAGGTAGTCATTTCTAACGTTGGTCAACTTCTTCAAACTCTAAAGTCAATCGAAGAAGATGAACGACGGGGTATACGATCGCTTGAACTTGCTGCTAGATATTGTCGTGAACAAGCAAAGCTTCTTCCATCCTCAAAAGATCCGGACTGTGTACTTACACCGACTAGCCTACATAAATCAACTGCCCATAGTGCACATAGCGTTTCAGCTACTAGTGCTTCTTCTAGTCTAATTGCACGTTATTTAGCCCCAGACGACTTAGCGCGTGCTGCTGGTGGACCTGTTCAGTCTGCAGTGTCAAAAGCAATTTTAGCAAGCAATACACAAACACAACGTGATGTCATCCACACCACCTCAGCGACTCGAGATGCAGTAACTGATTTAGTCACAGCTGCTAGGGTTAGTTGCTTGACTGTAACTGTGAATGTAGAGTGATCATTAGTATTTGTATGTCAATCATTTTGATATGCTAGTTTGTATTCTTGATAACCATAGTATAGAGCAACTTGGTTCTCACTAACCGAAGCTAACGGAAAATTGAAAACTTCCTAATTTATTTCTAATGATTTGATGCTAATTTCGACAAGCTGCTATAACAGAGGGCTAATTACGTGCTGCATGCTCTGTGACAACTGAAATACCTCTCAGTCCCATGTTCCCAGTTGTAGTTTGCGGATTAAAAAAATGAGAAGCCGTGCAAATACATAGCGGTTCACGTCACCACATTTACAGCTGACGTTAAGAATAAGATTATAAGAAAATATTATAAACATTCAGACCATAATTGTTATGAATGTCCTGGAAGAAGTTGAGCGCCGAGTCTGTCTTACTTGCTTATCCATCTGCTTTTTAGACAACAAGGTCGGCAAGAAATCTATGATATATTAATTTTTCTTGAGACCGCTTACAAGAAAAACGATGCCAGACATGCATTTTCATCAAAGGTGTTTATGGCATCGATGCTGAAAGTTCAGTCAACTGGGCAATTAGAACTTGTATCTAGAAGAAAGAGAAGCCTAACGAACGAACTGCTCTACACTTACCTAGAGTAAGAAGTCGGTAGGAAGTGAGATTGTAGCCGCATGATACAACACTCAATACTAGCGCAGGACCTGGTATTGCTGCGCAACTACCATAGTCATATCTTTGTTAATGAATCCAATAGGACGACGATTTTATGCTGTCGTACACAAGTTAGTGTTTATTTTTGCAGATGGCTAAGAAATGTACACAATATTATGGCTTAAGTGACTACCTCTTCCTGTCACATTTCTATTGTAAGCCAAAAACATTCTATCAGCCCACATCTACGGCCATTGACCTCAACGCGTCTAGTGTGAGGATAAGGACAAAGGCTGTTTTATGCTTTTTGGACTTTTTGTTTTCCTGTCATCTACATCTGACCAGTAGATTCGATGCCTCCTATTCCTCCCCTCTTTTTTTGTTTTTTTAAAGCCTTGGGCTGAATGAGACTAGTCTGACAAACCTAAACATCAGTCAAACCATTAGTCCAATGGCCGTATCTCCTACCCCTTCCTTCTGTCTTTTTCGGTAGTATGTCTGTCAATCGATGCTGAAATGTTTTACTACCTCATCTTGCCTTCCATCATAGACCAATCACGTAGTTCGATTCTATGATTGGTTGACTGTATGAATGTCAGAAAGGTGACGCACGTACATTCCAGATAACAGTTGGATTTTTCGTTAGCGATTTGTGGCATTGTTTTCACGATGGCTTAGCTTTCGAGTCTGACTAACCATACTAATCTCTCTCATTTCAATGTAATGGATTTTTGTTCAGAGCCTACTTCGTTACTCGGAAATCACCGCAGAGACAAAATCAGCTTGTGCTATAATAACAAGGGAGTTGGCTGAGGAGTTTGCTGTCCTGTTGGATACCCTCAAAGATGTAAGTTCTTTACTTTATATGTACTACTACCTTCAAAACCGAAATACAATAGTTAAGTTGGTCACGTCCTGCTAAGTAAATGTAACAATAACATGTTTCTGTTTGCACAATAACGGCATAGTTCCCATTTTTTTAGTTTTACTACTCACCACTCATATATATCGCTATTCCTACCTCATGGTCTTTCGATTATGCTCTGCCTCTGTGAGATCGACGTAACTAACAGAGTATCTTCTCGCCTGTCTGGTTGGGATGAAACGCTCCGGTTCTCACACTAGATATCAGTATCTATCTATGTGCTGGTGCGTGGTCTCCAGAGCTTTCTTTCTCCACAGGATTTCTTGGGATTGTTAAGATTAGGAAATCCAAAACCAGTCCTGTCGCTAGGGTTACAGACTACTGTATTTATCAGGTAGGTTAAGTGGTGTCGCCAGTCAGGTCTTTCGAAACACTTTTACCAGCGCATGAATTACCATCCATTCAATGCATTTCACTCTATTGACATTGTCTTTATGGGGTTCAGGGCTACAGTAGACGTTTTGGTTGCAACTACTACTACTACTACTACATGCTCTTGTTACGTGTAAGGTACAGCGTCATATTCATAGGCTGAGCAAATCTTGCAGCTTTCTACAATGTTCTTTGTTTACCCCCTTACTGGCTTATCTGTCCACCGTCATTCCTATCAACCGATCAAATCCCTATTTTGAACGTAGGAGTCCAGTTGACTACACTGATAGGATTTTCGTAAGCTTTTTGGCATTCACTTCATTTCTCGATCCCCACCATTCTGTCTTGAAACGTTTTTAGGATAGATGGCTTAGTCATCCGTGTAGTTCGGTCTCTAGGTCGTTGTTCTTTAGTGTGTAGCCTGTGAGATGTTTCTCACAGAATGTGGATTTTATAACGTTAGCTTAACTGTTGTAAAAGATTTACTTTAAATCCCGTTTCTATCATAGCTGTCAAATAACTGTCGTATCAAAGTAGCTTTACGATTGTATCGTAGAGATTCTGAGCTTTAGACAAGCTCACTGATTATGAACTTTCTGAGACCAAGTCTGACTTCTTACTTAATTCGCTAGTTTTCTGTTGATCACATGTACATGAGGTTGTGGACTTTGTCATATACACAAGCGTACTTCAGAATTGTCTGTCCTATCGTCCACTAGAAAGCATCCCACAACGAAAGGATTGTGTCCAAATGCACCTGTAGGAGTCAATTTTGTCGCTTCCATGTTGACTGTCTCATTAGTATCCTTCGATGTAATAAAACGTGATGTTTTTCGTTCGAGTTTTTTGTTGGTGAGGTCGTACATACCAGCCATTATGTAATGAGTCGGTTCCGATGCTTCACATCGCTGTTGTGAAGTTACAGAAAAACAGCTTAACCAGTTACTAGTACGATATTTCGTCCATTTGACTTCTGGGAACACAGTTGGCATAAATTCAGTCAACTGATTTCAGGCTGCTTCTCAGTGCCTTATTCTTACCAGCCTGGAGCTAGCTGAGACGAATAATCAGTTTGCGCTAGACTTGTGTTGGGTTCACTGATTTTCTCTCATAGTTTTAAAAGTTTCGGACACATATCCCCCAAATACCGTCCAACTTAGATTGTTTATATTCAACATTCCTAATGAGCATGTGGATGACTCGTATTCTGCAGAGCATGCAGGTGCAGAAAGTTTTTCCGAAGGTGTCATGTTTTGAATCATAAAGCATTGTAGGTAGTTAACTAGTTTGCGAGAGTATGTTAGCTCAGGTTTAGCGATATTAGACTGAACTGTCTGGTCTGAGTACCACTGATACCATTAGATAAATAATGGAAATCTGAGTCAATAGCCGATCTCGAGCTTATCACTTAGTAAAAGGGTGCTGGATGTGTAGATTACTCATGGTTGTCAACTTTAGCGGCTAAACTCTTATGTAGCATACTACGTTTTGTGGAGCTATGACTGAATGACCTATGCCCTTCCAACCAGTGACTCATTTATTGAAGCTCTGCTCTGAGATTTTAACAACCAGGTTATGATAAGTATATTTCTTGGTGTAATTCACGCAGCCGCACGTGATTGAGTTCGATTTGACTTCGTGAGTATGCTACACCCACCATAATTCATCTGATGTTTTCAAGTCATGCGTTGACCTTGTCTTCAGATACTGTAACTGAGATGTAACGAAGATCTTTCGTGTTCAGCAACTAGGTTTTTCCCATTACCAAGCATTGTGTAATTTCCTTATTCTGCGAAACATTTGCGTGGAATTTTACCATATTGTTGTTTGTTAGTGGGATATGTAGATTTTCCTTACCTAATTCCTTCCGCCGTTTTTAGTTTAACTTACTGTACCCTTCTTTATTCATAATTTAGGGTTTGTGTACTTCCAAGAAGCCAGAAGTAGAGAAAGTTTCGAGTATAGCTCGTCGTATTGCTGACATTTCACACAGTTTGATTAATTTGGTTGATAGTCTCAGGGGTAAGTTCATTTTATTTTAGCAGGCACCAATTTATGTGTGGGCTGGTTACTTATTTGCTTACAAAATTAAGTTTATCACGCTGGGTAACTTAAATTGTACTGCGGGCGATCATCGTCAATACCCTTATTACATAGTCCCAAGTAGATAAAAACCTCAGTTGTCTGAGATAAGATCATTTAAAAGCTAGACGTTGATTCACCGTTTTCAATTCCGAATTTACGTAATGCTATTTATAAGACGGTTCAATACAGTAACCTGTGTGCATAATGCTTAGTTTAACTGAGCGTTTTTCTGTGTAGTTTTACTTCGTATTCCTATTACGTGTTCCTCGAGTTCGGTTATTTTTCGACACAACGACAGTGGTGACAATTTTTCGTGCACACTTAAGTGTGATCGATGTCAGGTGATTGTAGGCAATCGACAGCAAGTCCTACACCTAGGTTTTCTGCTTGTTGACACTCGTCAACCAGACGTATCTGCATCCTCGAAAAGACTGATGCCCTCTGAGTAACTTGAACTCTTACTAGTATTTAAACACTGGCTTAATCGACTTCTCTTGCAGCGGAAATGATTCGAGAAGTCGGCGCAGGCGAAATGCGTCAAGTGCATCCCGCGCTACAGGCAAAGTAACAACATTCAAAGGGAACATTGTTATAAATAGAGGATACAAAACAACTGGTACTCTTTTTCGGAAGAGAATATTGTTAGAGAATACTGTCCATTTGGTAACAACGCAAAAGATGCACTTGGGAGATAATACCTATCGTAATTCGTGTTTGCAAGGTGGGTGTCTTTTTATTGTTTGTCATTCTCCTGAATAGATTGTCTCATCCATTGAGGCTTTGTGTCACTCGTAATCACTGCTCATTTATAATATCTTGTATTCCTACCTATGGGCACACTTGAACCTGCCGTCAAAGTTTATGTAAAACCTATTAGTGAAAGGGATACCTCACGTGGTTACGGTCTCGTCTGCACACAGTGCTGTTGGTCGAACATGATATATTTTTAGAATTAGCGTAGGAAAATCAATTTGAGTTTTTGACTTGAAATACGCGTCCTCCTGAATTGTGGACTGTAATTATGGTAACTACCCAATATATATTTTTCACAGACCAATGAGAAAAAGCCGAATTCCTGTCTCCAGTTATATTTGCATTTGCTGGAACCACTGGCCAGCGGTTATTTGATTTGTTTTAATTTTTATGTTCTAAAAGCTAAGTAATTCTGCCAACTAAACTTTTTCTTTCCCTATCTTTTTCTCCTCCCCTATGGAACACTTTGGTTTGGATGTTTGTCTTATAAAACAATCTAAATGTACATGGTGTTTGCTTTAATATATGCTGTCACTTTCTAACTGCATGGAAACCTAACTGCACATCATATATGCGGGTTGCATTGTCTGTCATTGTGGGTGTTTATGGCTTTATATCTTTTTTATTTGTTCCTACACGCATGTTGTAATCCTGTGTTTCATGTACAAAATTCTAACGTGTAAATCAGAGGGACCACGACTGGTTATGTATTTCCGCGCCAGCAGTCCTGAGTGTGAGTTTATCTTTTTTCGGTGCACTGGCTGTGGTGATAGCTTTTTGTTTCTCAGTGTGTTGTGTACACCTATGCATTTGATGGTGTTTTGCCGCTGGGCGTTTTATGGTGTTTGTAATTACTCTCGTTGTTGAGTAGTAGTAGTCGATAGTCGTTTACCATCGGTTGACTATTGCGCCTACAAATATCTGTCTCCCCTTTATTTCAGGGCGTGATGTGGCTGAAAAGTTCATTGGACGTCACGTGGCCTATCATCACCATTACGTGTCAAATTACGCATTGGGTACGTTTTACTTGTTGAAATATTTAAAGCTAGTCGGTACTAGTGCATGTTGTGCTGTTGTACCAAACTACTAGCTATATTAACAATCTGCCTGTATTTTCTTATTTTAAAGCTGGTTTGGAGTCGACACACAAAAGCGTTTATATTCGTCCCACATGTTATCCCTTCCAGCTGTCATATGATCAAACTAGCGAGCAATCTGCAAATGATGAGGCAGAGTGTCGGGTTGTGGAGGCTATCACTCAGCTCAATTCATCTTTGGAAAAATGTGTAAATCTTTAGTTGCTAATATTCAAATATTCATATAATTTTTGTGAATGTAGACTGGTCGATGTGATATGTATGGGTTACTTGGTGTCAGGGTACAGTGTATTGTATCCTCTATGAAAACACCAGTGACCAAACATATCCCTATCGCTTAGTTTAGGTCATCTACGGTTGCCATAATTTGTTTGAATATTTTACTGTTTTCGGTTTTAAGTAGCGTTAAACTAATTGAAGGCATCTTGTGGTTGCATGCTATACTATGTCTCTTCCAATATTCTGTGACTGTCCGTAAGTATCAAAAGTTTTTTATGTCAACTCTCATGTTTGTCAAAGGAACTATGTAAGGTCGATTTTCTCGGTGCAAAACGGATGACATATACATGATTAACTTACTGGGTGAATAAATAGTTTCGACTTTTCGCAGGTGTGTACGAGAGCTTCCCGACTGTCATGGTGTCCGTTCTTCATCCTAGTCTAAGGTATTTGAGGAGAATGCGGTTAAAAACGATTACACACCAGACACTTCATTTGCATTGTATCTCATTAGGCTCATAGCACGGTCCCGTTTGGATTGACAATCTTCGTAAGATGCATCTATATGCGTTCAACCTGATGTACATCAAATAAGAATGGCAACTGACATTTCTAGCCTGTAAGTTACTAATTGTGACAGTGTATGCTATGAATGGGGTTACAGTGCCCAGGATACTGTGTTTTAAAGCTACTGATTTCTGAGGTGATCAACATAGTTTAGTTTACCCCGTTATCGTCACTTTCTCATTCCTTACCATAATAAAAATGTGCAATTCAAACAGGTTCGGGTGTCTGTACTAGACTACTGTGTTAGGACCTATCTTCTACCCATTAACAGATCGAAGTAGAGTGCTACAAGGATTTCTTGGCTGTATTTGACTAGATCTGAGTGGGAAGACAATTAATATGCTCCTGAAATCTGGATTTTCATAGACTTTCTTTTACTTCAGTGTTGTCCGACAAAAAGCTTGTTCCTTTGCTAATATGGACCATCTCAATGATAGGTGGCAAGGTAACAGTAAACGGACCATAGAGGTGAGATGGTGTGCTTACACCATCGTCTCGAAGTTCATGTGTCGCACAGAATCCAGGGCATTTTGTCGTTCTACTTAATTGATATTATGGAAATGTGCCGTTCCTACCAACTAAACGTTCAGTTTTTTAAACTATTATATTCGTAGCTGAAATATGTGGTGATAATCACAGTTGTTATTTCTAGTTTGTATCGCCAATTAATATCTTGTTTATTCTTTATTTTAGTCCGCGAACAATAAATTAGCTCAGTCTCTTCTTGTTTCGGCTAGATCAGTAGCTGCGTCTGTTCAAAATCTCATCAGAACCGCTCGAACTGTTGTGTCTATCCCACCTACTGATGCTGTGGATAGGGCTCGAGCAGCAGACGGCACCTCACAGAAAAGCACTAGCTCAGCTGCTCTTTGGCGTACCGAGCTTAATATATCGCTTGCCACTCAACATTTGTGTCAACTGTCCAAATTATGTTCAGAAACAGTTCCATCTACAACCTCGACCGTGATTGATGATACCAATGGTGAATTGTCGGGAAGGTTGATTTTGTCACGTGAAAGACTTTTGGCTGCTGTTCGACAGGTGGCGACTGCAGGGGCTCAACTGCTTTTAGCAACCAAATTGAGGAAAGAAGCACTCATGTCTGCTGATATTCGAAAGCTAAAAGTGCGTTTTTGTAATACAATTCTTCTCGCCGTCATTGTTTCATAATCGTAAGGCTTAACTAATACATTTACTGGGAAGCAAATTGCGTCAGAAGTAACTACTTTTTAGGCGTATATGCCTTATTTTACTCTCTGTTGACGGTGCGAATGCTAGTTGGTTGACCACTGAAGATTAATAATTGGCTATTAGCTTCATGTAGCTGGGTTGTTAACACCTAAGTAATGCGTGTTACTTGAATTTTTTATTCACAAGAGGAGCATGTTTTAAGTGCATGGAAGAATATCTGATTTAACTGTACCAGCACAAGAAATCTATCCTGTCACTGTCATTAACGATGGAAGTAAAGATCCAGGATGCGTGTTTCGTTCTATTTGGCACCCATCAACTGTGTCTATCTGCCTGTCACAGAGTGATGTCCCCACTAAGACTCAAATGTAAAAACAACCGCTTCAAATGCCAGAGCGTTATCCGCTAGACCACTGAGTTATAACAACCACTCTTTGTGCGACGAGTATAGCATAGTTATGATGTTATATGCTTTGAATCTCCGTCACTGGTTGGACCGAATTAACGGGCCAATATGGGCTTCCGTACTGATCCCTCGATACTGCCGGCATGATGTTCTTAATTTTGACATGTATTAATATCAAAACTATCACAGTTGACATTTGCTAATTATTATTGTTCGCAATCAGTTTAGCAACACTGGTCTCGCAACTAGTCTACAGTATAAATTCACAGACGTATCATATGATATTCGTTCCCAGCTAAAAAGATGTAGGATTATGAGGTTCCATCTGGATTTATAGAAGCTAACTTTAATTGTGAAACTAATCGTCGTAATAAGGCAAGCAGTGATTTTTTCTAATTACTTTATTCCCATTAGTCTGCCGGTCAAGCTGTGAAAGAATCTACAGATCTCCTTGCTGAAGCGGTTCAGAGAAGCAGTGTAGCGCCAATTAGTTCAACTCCTTCCGGTATAACTTGGCCGATGTACTCAAATGAAGCATTGTTAAAGGTGAGGTGTATTATTTTTTTCCCCATACCGAATCTCTAACAGGTATAATAAGAGTTAAGGTAATGTATCAGTCAGTCATGCAGTACCAACATGAACCATGGCAGTATTTCGTCACAGTCCAGGTTTCTACTCATCAGCACATCGGCATATAAAGTAGCAAGACAAAACATAGAGACAAGGATAATAGGTGTAGATAAAGTTATATGCATAACTGAAATGATAAACTGACTCAAAAAACCAACGTAGAACCTCACACACAACTGGATCGGCTCGAGTTGCCACACTTCACAGTAGTACGCAGGGAGCAGGTGGATTAAAGAAGATACAAACCAAAGTAGACAAATTTGCGTGAGACAACAAACTGTCTGAAGATAACAGTTCGTGCGCATTTTCAAGCTTTATAAGATGTCCATGAGTGAATACATCTGCGCCACTAACCGATTTCCAGCCATGTCACCAATACCTCTCAACCACTGATTCCTTTCGTGTTGGTGACCCGAACTAGGCAGCCTACATCTCCCAACGCAGTTCCGACCAACAGTCAGCGACTTCATGCGCTGACATGTCTTGGTCCTGATGGAATTTCCACTGGCATGGCACATGAATTGCCAGTCTTGTCCAGTACCCGTCTTACCTCAAAATTGTTGACATTGACTTCACTTACTGCAACGAATGCTACGAAAACATCTGGGATCCAAATCCTGCGACTGCTCCATTTTTCCTATTTTTAACAGCCGTAAGCAGGACAGAACAAGCTTACAACCGAGCTGAGATTTTGTCAGCAACCAGCCCGTTCAAGCTGATGCAAGTCCTCAAGTAAGTGAATAGGTCGGGCATACACTGAGAAGACCATTTGGAGACATCACCCACCAGACCCTCGAGTGGAATCAAAAGGGGAAACGACAACTTGGGCGTCCGAGGCACGGGTAACGTGGGGGAGATCGTGTGAGGAAGGAATGAAAGCTTGTGTGCAGTCGTGAAACCAGGTTCATAAGACTGCAGAGAACAGAGTGAAATTGCGATGTTCTGTTGAAGCCCTATGTTTCGCTAGAAACCCAAAAGACAAGAAATAATCACTGCTTATCATTAAACGGAGTATTTGCGATAGACCACTCCTGGAACATCAACTTACATTTGACGGGTGCCTGCAAGGCATATGCCAAACATACTCAGATTCCTGCTAAACGCGTTCGAAAGACCCTGCGTTTTTTCAGTCTTTAACTTACACAATAATATCTTGTGTGTACACCAAGTCGACCAGGCGACCTCCAGGGAGTAGGTCAATCTCTGTGAAGTCAGACGTACCTAAGGTTATGTCCATTGATACTTCTATGACGAAGTTGAATAGGAACGGTGACATTAGATATCCCTGGCAGACACCACAAGTTGTTGTCAATTCACGTGACAACTCTACATAATCCCTGAGACGGCTGGATGAGTTTGAGGAGATAGCTTTGATGAGCATCATCTACTTGTTCGGTACTTCTTCCGTAGGCAGACACTGTCACAACACCTCACAGTTGACGGAGTCGAATGCCGCCTTCAGATCAAGAAGTATGGCAAGTGTCTGCCGCTTACCGGTAAATTATCTGTATCGAAGGACATGTTGTAGGGTAGAAATATGATTGATGCACCCACGTTCATATCTGGAAACCGATTAGTGTTCTCGAGTTAAGCGTTAGATAACGATGGATCTTGGACACAAGATTAGTCAAACTACTTCGCCTACGGCTGTCACAAGAAGACTCCTCACTTTTTGTATAGACACTGGGATGACCAGAGAAGTAGACCAGTCTGACAGTACTACCTCTGATTCCCATACACTGCACAGTAGCTCCGTCGACGTGATCAGTGATTTCCTGCTTCCATTCCTCAAAAGTTTGAGGGGACAAACTATCAGATCCAGCAGCTTTGCATCGTTTCAAGTTCGATACAGTCTTCTTAACTTTATGGAGGAGAGTTGGGGTACCGACATCTACGTACCATTCAGGATTGGGCTGGGTGGATGTTGGGGCGACTGAGGCCTTGCGAAGGTGCAGTTGAACTGTGCTTCAAAGTGTGTTGCGTGACGTCTTAGCTGCCAGCCGTGGGGAGGTCATCAGCGTCCCATCGTTTTCAGTGATGGTTTCATCAGTAACCATCGTCTTCTTTTTGCCAGTATCCTTAATAAGCCGGAATAGTTACCGAGTGGTACTCAACTCTGATGCCTTCTCCATCTCTCTTGCTTTCGTCACCTACCACTGCTTACGATCAAGGCGGAAGCTCTTCGTCAACTCACGTTTAAGTTACTTTCGCTCTTTATAGTGGTCAGAGACAGCCAGCTGAAGTCACTCTTCAGCGATCAACCAATTCGGATGACTTTTTGGAAATCCAATGACGTTTGTTAACCTTCAGGTATAGGTTACCAAGTGTTTCTATAGTAGACTTAATATCACGCCAATTTTCTCAGGATGAGCATTGCTGTCACGTTCAGATAAATACTTTGCTTACTCTTAGGACTATTAACTTGCAGTGGGCTACCTGTTTGCCACCAGTTTTGTAAACCTTTTTTTGGGAAATATTAGTTTCTGCTTAATTTGCATACATTAACTCAAGACAGTACTATAACTTATTTTTAATCGTATACTCATTCAAATTGTATTCCTATTTTACTCCAGGGTATCCACACTAAAGCTCAAATCCACTCACAACAAATGGAATTAAAAGCGCTTGAATCTCAGCTTGCTCGTTTACAACAGGCGCAACTTTCGTGAATCACACCAATGTTTTCGTTGTACAGCACTTCTGATATGTAATGACTACACTAATGAATACCAGTTAACCTACTTCTTTGTTTCCTGATTCTCTCTAGCATTTTCTTGTTTCGGATTCCTAACTTTTGTGGATGTTCCAGATTTGGTTTGCTCTTTCACTTATATAGCGTTTGCATGCTTGTTTATTTATATCCATACTTTGCTTTCTCACTGTTTTGCAGTTTACACTTAGTTGCCTGTTAACCTCACATTCTTTCCCCCCTGTGCTCTGTTCTTGCTGGGTAAATATTAAGATATTAAGATTAAATGGGTTGAGAGACACAATTTACACATTATTTCCGGATCTATCATCATCAAGGTTACTAATTTGTATGCATGTAATATACACTGGTTTGAGTTTATTTATTGGTGATATTAATACGTAGCAATTTATCTGATTGTTTCACTGCTCCATGTTTTGTGTTTATTTTCTTTTTGGCGCCGAGTCATTTTACTGCCTTATTACTTGAACTATTTATTGTATCGTATGACTAATATCGTGGTACTTTGGTAGCATAAAATATTGGTTCAAATCTTCCGTTGTTAGTGAACGTAACCTCAACTGTTTGGTGGCTATGTTTGTCTTGAGGTGATTCATCTCACTGCACATTAAGCGGTAAGTCTAAGATGCTGTGATGAAATTGCGTCTTCCAATCACTAACAGCATTCTTATTAATACTACTTTCTTACGCTGAAGTTCACTAACCAGCGGCTCCCTAAAAAGTACAGAAAACTAGAAATAGCTATCACAAAGTTTTATAATAGGTTTTAAGTATGCATTTGATTGGCGTTTGCCTAGTTCGGTCTTGTAGACCAGTAATTACAAATCAGACCTCTAAACCATAACACCCGATATGATTTGAACACTACTTCCATATCCTCTGCAGCGTAAGAGCTGTATTGCGTATGAATCACTAAGAAATAAATTAGCTAGTGTAGATAGGAAGGCGTTCCTGTGGTGTCGTTGGAATGCTGTTTCAGTAAAGTTATGACGACTGTTTTTCACTGCACTCGGACAACACTGTATTTCATCCAGAAGGTGAGGTTATCAACTTAGCGGAGTACGACAGTAAACAATTTCGGATACTAGAAGTCACGAGAAGAAAGTGTATGTAGGTGAAATCAGTGAGTTTCGTGTACGTCAGTATGACTACACAACTTAGCGAAACTCAGTGAAGTTGGTTATCTGTACTAAGAATCAGACGGCTGGATGGGCCAGCGTTATGAAAACAAGTGAAATCCTTATCTATTCTTCCATTTCGTAGACAAGAATGTCTCGACAAGTTCACTATTCTTTCTTCGTGGGTACCATGCCGATAAAAGCGTTAACCATAGCGTCTTGTATTTTTCTTAGTAAGAGTCATCATAGTTACTTCTATAATATATATTGTTATTCCAGTAGATTATTACCGTGTGGCTTTGCAACCTGTGATTGCTGAAGATGACCATTTTATGATTTCGTAGGTGATAATGGTCCTCTCTTTTAGCGTAGGATCACCAGGTATACATGATGCCGTTTGAAGTAATCTCGCTGGTTTTTGGCAGACATGTCTCATTTTTCCTCACTATGTTTTGTTGATCATGTGTCTGAGTTTGCCTGGTTCATAGAGGTTTTCATTTCCTCCTCCAAGTGGGAAGCGAAATAGGGGAGACTACTTCAGAAAACTGTTTACGCGGTATTTGTTGGTTCATCGGCTGCTAGACAACCAGTCACACTGACACCTCGTGTTTAGCTGACATTAGGAATATTGTAGCCAAAATAGTCGATAAAAAATGTGTTTACAGGCTTCTTTTTATTCACACCAATAGTGTATGAACACCTAGCTTTGGCTGAGAATTAAGTCGGATGTCGACTGTGTCCTCACCCACCATCTTTCCGATTAAAGACAACAGAGTGATTCAGTTTTCATGACGAGCTTAGTTTACTGATTTCGTTGACAGGTGAATATAACATCGTATACCGAAACACTGAACTTCATCCTGCGTTTATAAAGTGGGGAAAGTGACTGGCTTATGAACTAAGGCGAAGAATTTTGAAGTCGGTATATCTAAAACATTTCAACTACCGGCAGCTTTGGCCTGTTATTATGATCCCTTCAAATTGTTCCGTATAGGACCCTTTGAGATTGCAGTTCTTAGCACAATATTGCTAGATTTAAAATATTAGCTAGATAATCTACGGCTTAAGTGATTGTTTTTTTTTACCGTGTAGACATCGACCAGTTTAGCGTATTCTCTGAAGATACAGCTTGTGCCACTTCTGAACAGTGAAGTAACAATCCTGTGTGATATGTCCACAGGGGATCTAAGACCCATTGTTTCTTACTCTCTGCTTAGGTCCGTTTTTGATGCTCTCCAGTCTTTCGCATTCCGTTATCCATGCTACGGACAAGCTGATATATACTAGGTTTGTTTGGCCAGGCGCTAATTGTGATGTTTGAAAGTGGAAACCGGCATGTATTCGATGCCAACGTTCCACTGGTGAATCGACGTAACGTCACAGCCCTTGGGACTTTCATCGGACGAGATTCATGGTTCTCATGTTTATTTGGACAAAGTTTATCCGCTTCCACTTTCTAATGGTTATTTCTATCCACTGTTATGTATCGATAGGTTCACCCACTGGCTGGAGGTCATCCTAGTATCGGATATTACTGCTGAAACAGTAGATCGGATGTTGTTTGAAAGATGAGTCTCACGGTTTGGATACCCTTCTATTGTGACAACCGACCGAGTTTAACAATTTAAACGTTGACTTCCAGAAGCTGTTGGAATGTAGATGCATTCGAACCAATGCGTATCACGCAGCTTCTACTGACTGAGCGCTTCCATTGTCATCTTGAGGCCTCTTTAGTGGCAGTCGACAACGCGAAGTGGACTGGATCTCTGCCGTTAGTTCTTCTCAGAGTTTGCTCCAAACTGAAAACAGATATACAATGGGCTCCTGACAAGTTGGTTCAGTGGAGAGCGCTGCGTTAGGCCGGCGAACTGGTTGCTCCGGAATGCAGCCGGTCAACATCTGTTACCCATCGTTATGCTGAGAATTTCAAATGCACTGTCTTCAACTATCATACACAAGAGTACAGTAAAGACCAGTACAATTAAACAGAATACTTCAAGACTGGACGTACGCGTTTCGATGCTGTATGCAAACGGCTACGACGGATCTTCCAAGGTTGTCAGAAGAAAGGAGAAATCCTTCGTCATTAATGACGATCCAACCCTCTCTTTATTAGCAAATCAGTACAGTTGTTGCTGCAGGAACAAAAGAAAGACTCTAAGGATCGAAAAAATTACGACTCAGCAAGGAGATCGACAGCAATAGTGACAAAGTACTATGTACATGCATTGGTCAATGTGTTTGTTCACTGACCCGAACAGTTAACAGACTTCATTTCTTAGTTCACTAAAGATCTGACAGCTGGACAAGTTTTCCCAACTTCATGTCTGATTAGTGTTTCCTAACGCAGTCCGTTTGTTTTTTACAGTGAAAATTTGTGAAATTATATCAACATGCTACGAAAGCACTTTGGCACATGTTCTTTTTCTTATTTTGTCAGTCACTTCATATTTGTGCGCGTTTAACAGTTTTATCTTTATCCTTCGCTAACATTGTTTTTTTTTCATTGCAGACTAGTCAAAACGCGAATTATCAGATACAAGTTGGATATCGGCGATACCAACTGAATCGTTCTGCTGTTTCTTGCACTGATCCCCTCTTGCACGTTTCCCTTTGTAGCTTAAGGTTCACCAGGGAAATGTAGACGGAGGCCTCGTGTCATCTACAATCACTGCGTCTAGACTCAAAGTTTCGTTTCCTCGTAGGTATACATAGTTGCACTAGCTTCGGAAACCCACACGTCACCTGCTCCATCTCTAACAGTGTTGTGTGTCTACCTCGCAGTTGCCTCCTAGAGTCGAAGGTTGCCGGTGTCACAACAACCTTCTAGGAGGGGGATAACCTTTTGTGAACCTTCTCAACAGCAAATACTACTAGATTTAAAACAAATAAACATTTAAAGTATCTAAATATTGGTCAGATAATCTCCTACGGCGTCAGCGGATACCCTTAGTTTTGTATTAACTTGTAGGCATCCGTCACTTTAGCATCTTCTCTGTGCTGATCAACAGCCGCAAATTCATATTTCAGCCATCTATAGACAAATAATTGTTAACCTTTCTTCCTACAATTACGTTTTTAATTCAGATTAATAGATAAACTACTCTTCTGGGCACTTTTTGCGATCTGATGTTTCCTTTTACTGTCATTGCTTACACGAAAGTAAGGTACTCAGCGGTTTGATACTGGGACACAATCTACATCAGCTAATAGGTGATAACACAGCCAGCCTCATATTATTTGTGAACCCGAGTTTCACTTCATTTGTGAGTATGCATGACTGTTTCTATTATCTTTGTTTTTTTTTGTTTTTGTTGCATACCTCTATATTTCTATACTCTCCGTTGCCTCTGATCATATTAGTGTTTTATTGTCCTGTTTCCAAAATGGCTGAAAATCGAGACTGGCATAGATGGCCGTTACTATATGGCTCTCTGCTTTCTCGGTGCACAGACTGTCAACCTGGTTCCCCTATGTCGAAGCTTAATTCGCTCTTAGGCAAATTCACTTATAAGAAACGAAGGTCAACTTATTTATTGTCAGTCTTCCGAAGGACTTTATGGGAGAGATATCGGATTTGCTTGACGACGCTGCTTCAAACGTTTACGACTGCCCTTATCAAATGTGTTGCTGTGACTGACCAACAGAAGGTGCAGGAGATATTTCGCGATGTTCATCAAGGTGGTCGTAAGCTTAAACAAACTCTGTGCCGGAGGCAATAGCTTATTTCCAGATTTCAAGTTTGATTATGTTCTTCTCAAACAGCTATGGTTTCAACTCCTTCCTCAGTCACGTCAACATACTCTTGCACCTTTCCACCAGTCTCTATTGGTGGAATTAGTTGGGGCTGTGGACGGATCAGTAGAGGTAACCCGATCACAATCTGGACTGGCAGGGCCATCGGTACGACTGCTGGTACCAGCCCTATTACAGATACTTGCCCATTTAGTAGCTTCACAAATCTCGACCCTGCTGCTTATATCACGACTGTGTGCAGCATCTGAAAAGAGATGAAGGAAAGTGGATTATTATGCAATCACGTTTCTCGACCAGCTACAAAACCTCGTTACTTTAGATCGAAATCAAGAAATTCTTAAGGTGGAGTTTGTTGGTACCATAGACGATGTAGTGCCAATGCAACGAAACGCACTTAGCCATGTACTGTTGACTCCAAGTAACCGCGAAACACACAGTCCAGTAGGTGATGGCAACTGGCAAACCCCTGCCTCTTTTACATAACTGGTCGTCGTCCTGAGATACGCTTCCTAGGAGACATTAGGCAGAAGCCAGCATATTCCCATCAACAACTGAAGAGCAGGTCGTTAGGACTAAGTTCGAATATATAATGGAAATAGGGATCATAAGACCTTTCAATAGCCTGTGGTCTCCTCTTCTGCGCTTAGTCCCGAAGAAAAATGGCATGGACTAGCAGCCTTTATAGTGACTGCCGACAACTCAACGCTTAAGCGATTGCAGATCGTTAGACAGTGCCTAACCTACAGCACTACTAAGCGAAATATTAGGGGAAACAGCCTTGTTTTGTTTTCCTTACATTTAGATATACAAATACCAAATTTAAAGATCACTTACTAAGTGTCCAAGTGTTTTACAAACCATCAACTTGGCTTAGATACTTATTAACTCTTCACTGTCTTTAATTTCTTCCAGTTATGGACACCTCGCTAACGGTTCAAGTTCTCATGGTGCTTGAAACTACAAATCAAAACGTTCAGATTCCGCACCTTTCTTGAATGAATATGCGGATGAATACGGTTAAGACTATCTGTGTGTATCACGGTTACTTTTCACAACCTTGTAGGCAAGGTATATCGTAAGGTTCTAGGGAAGACTGAGTTTCAGTTGGCAGTCATTTGTGCGCAGTTCAATTGAGTGTTATAGTAAGAGTTCAGTCGTCAGCCAATATCACCACGGGACCAGGCAATACTCTTATAGTTACCACAACTCAAATCTAGATACCAGGCTGCAAAATGATGGAGAGAAAAAATGTGATCAAAAGTCATGACGTAAGGAGAGGAAATGAGGTAAATGAGATAAGATATGACAACTAGGGTGGAAACAGTGTGTGGTTGCATCTACACCTTTGAGATCGTTTCTGAACCATACCACCTACCAATTTTGGCTGTCATGCAAACCCCGATCGACAAGCCTACATTTCTCTACTCGGCTAAGAATAACACTCAACGGCTTATGTGTTCTGGTCTGGCCGCTCCTAACTTTTTCCCAACCTGGACCTACTTCAGTTAACTTTACGCAACGGTGACTATGCATGTCCTAGCCATCTCAGTCTATTAAGATCCACAACCTCATCAACTGACTTGCCTATCCAGCCTAGAGCTCTGTGCTTGACTTCCGCATTGCTGATGTCACGGTTCTACGACATGACCTATACTAAAATGTCAACGGTGTTTGGACACCTGAAACCCCATATCTTTCAACTTCATTGGTTATCCTTCACAGCCATACAGTACAGCGCGATATAAGGAATTTCTCGATACCCTCCATGATCTTCACTTACTCTGACAAAAGCCGTTTAACCTCCTACTAAAAACAAAACTTTCAAATATGGTCAATGTAGCAGACAACCTCATCGCAGTAGTAGGAAAGTTAACTTGGAAAGATATTCATCTGGTAATTTCAGAATCTCGAGTGAATGAATCGATGACAGTGAGTCCTTGCTACAGCTGTGCTCAGATAGCCATCTCCTGGTTACCATCATTTTCGCTCACAAAGCTAAGCAGTCATGGACATCTGAACCAAGTTGAGATTCGGTGTTCTAGAAAATGTGAATAGCAAAATATTCATTTTGTTTGACCTGGGGGTGGCTACCGAACTTACAAAAGGAAATTTAAATGATACCTCTATCAGTTACCGGTAGATGGGATGCATAAACGATCTTTATTCTTTTACGAAGTATGGATACGGAAAATGCGTATGTACGCTACGGTGGACAAAGAAAGACAACGTTCCCAGTTCAAATCGAAAAGGAGGATATTAAGACTGTATTCACGGAGGCACTGAGTAAACAGTTTGGTACGTGAAAATTTCACACAGCTTGTAGTAAGCAGGTACCATCTCCAAGGTAGCACAGACAGTGGTAAGGACTGTAACGAAAGCCCAGGAAAAGGTGAGATACAACTAGCAGATTTTAGTGGCTTCATCAGAATTAGTGAATAAACACGAACGAATCCTAGCAGTCTCCAAGTACAACTAGGAGTAGAAACAGCTAAAATGTAGACTAGTAAAGTGTCTACATAGTAACTGAACAGTTGCAGACGGAGAAACCCAAAGATGATAAAGACAATAGTTATATATATAAGGGTCATGCGTTTGGATTCTTTAAGTAGATTGATATGAAACCAGCCGTTGGTGAGACCATAACTAGGAAAGAGGAGTTGGTGGTCTGCTCACAGATGAGGTAACTGTAACGAAGAGCAAAGCTCTTAGGGGGAGCAGTTAAACTCGTTTCCAGCTGCTCTGTAGTTTCCCTTTCCCAACATAATTTGGATGCAAAACAAGGCCTTCAACTGTAGCCAAAGTAGGGTGTAGGATATGAGAAGCAGTGGCGGATCCCAATGGATGTTTGGAGTAGCAACCCAGGATTATCATTTAAGTGACTGAGATACTAATCCACACATGATTTTCAAAGTGATCTCGATAAATGTAGAGAATTACAGGTTTGTCCTCATAGTGTTTGTCACCAAGGTAATTGAAATCGAAAGTTAGAAATCCCAGATGAAATGACTTCAGTCTGATTACAGTGGTTTTCTATGACTCCTAAGGTGATATTTTTACTTCTGCATCTTTTTTCTAATTACCTTCTATGTCGATCTGAAGTGCGGAACGATACACAAAGGGGCTAGGTCGTATGTTTTCCGCATAGAACCCCTAAGCCAACAGGGAAAGATGAGAGGCAAGAACAATATGAGTAATTAAAAAAAAATAAATTAAAGTCGGTAAGTACAGTTACTTGGTGAAAATAAAGTCCTATATTCAGCAATACATTTGTGTAATCCTGATACCACACTGTACTGAAGCAACATCTGAAAGTGTGGTTCTACTGGTGACTGATCTAAACATACATTTGATCTAAACTTGTCTAGGAAAAATCAATACTTATAGAGAACAAGACTTTTTAGCGCTGAGATTAGTGTGACTAGTCACTTCAACGGCCTTCAAGCAATATAAATAGCTGGGATGACTGTGGGATAGACCGGATAAGGGTTTGTACAGCATTAACAAACAGTAGACGGGGATATAATAATTAATGGTCAGTTATTCAGATATTGGTTCAACGAAATGATAGTTACCACGATTATGATCTGAAAACTAATGGTCTAACCGCCGGGTAGAGTGATGAAAGGAAAAGTCAGTAGAAATTTAGCTATTCGTCACTTCATTGGGCCGCCACAGATGGGATGCGACGTCTATCCTTCAAATTTCATGAAGATGGAAGAAGGTATGGCAAATCTGAAGTGAGGTAATAAAGCAGCCAGATTCATTATTTCATTGTCATTGTAGGAAACATCAGCACAAACTCCCACTTTTCAACAGTCATTTACAAAAATCGAGAAATAGCAGTTAGGTAGTAGCAGCCAAGATGTTGGATATTACCGCAGAGAGTAATGTCACTTTATATATTCTTCGCTTCAAGTTTTCACGAACTATTTATTCTTCATTTACACTAATAAGACAGCGTGTATCTTTAACGTTACAGATTATCAGCTGAAAAATAAATCAGTGCAAACTCTAAAAACTTGTACGATAGGGTATTCTGGACTTGTTTTTATTTACTTAAACCACTACAGATGTTTACAGAGCGCTTTATGTTTGTTGGATGCAACAAGCAGATGTCTCATAACAGGTTAAAGCTCACCACTAGCCTGGGAGTTGACTTTTCCGATTGTTGAAGACAATGGCCTGCAAAATCCCGAAATAGATGCATAGAGCAGGCTAGGTTAAGGGTTCATTAAACATGTCCACCTGTTGCAAGGGATTGGAATACCCATCAGTAAACTTGTGAACCTCAGTAGCATGCTACGTTCGGAAATACAAAATGTAGTTAACACCGAAAACACTTAAATAAATGCAAAAATATACAAATATAATTCAGTTTCTGAACATTTAAATGTTAAGCAGAACTAATCGACAAATAAATATATCTACGTAATGGTTTTTATTTGATACTGAATACACTATAAGTGGAAGCCATGCTTTTCCAGATGATAACACTTGAAAACTGAACTTGCATTTATAATGAGCTGAGAGTAGTTGACATTCAAATTGATGTGTACAAACAAGCCAAAAATAAACAGAACTAATGACGAAATTTAATGTCGAGAAATTAATTAGAAAAGCTATTTACAAAATCCAAATAGTAGGAAACCTTGAACAACAGTCGATATCAGTTAAGTCACCTATTTCATGTCATTAGTTGTTGGATTCAGGAGTACACAAAGCTGATGGTCAGGATATGCAGGTAGTTTCAACTTGTATTTGTTTGCTAGGGAATTCGGTACAAATCTTCCACCTAAAAGCAAGTGAAAACAACGAAAGATAGTCACCGGTGAGTCATATAAGAAAACTCAATTAAAGGAATAAAATCTGCTTTTGAGCGATATTGAGGGTTCTGTGCTCAAACAATGATGGACGTGTTTGAGCCAATGGTGAGTTGTGTCCGTCAAGGGTGTCCACCTTTCCAATTCTTTAGTCTACTTATGAAGGTCTCCCTCCATCATCTCATTGAACAAAGATTGACCTTGCCACATGATACTCGTAAGTAGACCTAGAGAATGCGGATGATGTATTTATGTTAAGGGGAAGTCATTGATAAGATGCAGTCTCCTGAACACCTTGAGTTTCCATTTGAGAATGTTCGGGAAGTATCTCCTGCCATCCAAATGCGAATTGTTGTTCTAGGACTGGTCTTCAGTAGGGATTGAAGTGGTTTACTGCGTTGACCAGCTCACTCACCTAGGAAGTAAGATCAGCCCTGGTGCATCAGGGACCGAGGAAATCACTTCACGGATAAAAAAGCCTTGATTGACTTTCGCCAAGTTATGCCATTTACAGTGCCACCGTGATATCCGATTGTCTTTCCAAGAATTGAGTTTACTGTACTGAAGTTCACTCTTTTCAATTACATGGCTTTGAAACATGACCGTTGAAGGTAGAGAATACGTGGAAGCTCCAGATGTTCGTCCCACCGTTGCCTTTATAACATATGCCATGTGTCTTGGTGTCACCATGTCAGTAACGTAGAAGTCAGGTGTAGAGTTTAAAGGAGAAAAGGGAAGTTATTATTTGGTGAGGCTGTGAATCTTCATTGATTCAGTTGGCTTGGAAATGATTTACTCTTGTCTGGTCACCGTCCGCCTCGTCACAATGATAGCTGGAGTAGGTTCTGGCTGGAAAAAGTTTACAGGCTGCCAGACTTAAACATGCGATCAGTCTGTGAAGCCGTCGACGAGTTTCACTACTCTCTGAACCGTTCAGTCGAACAGTGGTACTGTGGACTGTCGAGTGGGATCCAGCAACGCACTTTCTGTCTTAGTACTCAGTGCTATACTTTCATCTGCAAGACCCCAATAACTAGCTATTGAACCTTCAGAAGATCGAAGGGTGAATTTCGCAGATTCACTGTACTGACCGGGTGAGGTTAAGGGAATGGCCGCACTTGGAACCTGTGTGCGTATCTCAGAAACACACCAAACGTATCCATAACCTGAGATGACAGGGTTTTAGCTAGCGAAGCTTGTTGGCTGATATGACGGGTGTGGACATTAGAAGCTCCAATTATTTAGGTTAAAGAGAGGATCCAGGAGACCAGAGATGTTGTTCCCTAAAGTGGAATCGTTACGAAGAGATGCAGGGCTGGAAGAAATTGAATATGAGTCTCTACACTACAAGTTACCAGCTAATTGTATATTTGTGTACTACGTTGTTAACTACACTAAATACAGTAATTCAGTCCACATTCAATTACGTAACAGCAGTAATAACTTATTGTTTTATTTCTTCTCATAATACTAGTAGCTATCATCATTTTATTCGTTGACTTCAACGATCATCTACCATTTTGTAGAAAAAAATTCAGTTCTACCCTTGGCTATCAAATGCACAATAGCTGATGTGCGTTTGTAACTTTCACCTAGGCATGGTGAAGGCGGTGTTACTTTGCAATTATTACTATTATACATACAGATTCTATACTGGGTCGAATAGCTCAACCTCTGTTGACAGATGAGCTTCTACGTGAATTCCTCTATATTACCTGATTACAGTATCGAGGCATTCATATAGGAACCTATCTGTCAACAGAGGTCGAGCAATTCGACCCAATATAGTAACAGGAGATTACAAGTATCAAGAGTAGCAGTGGATACGCGTTGCAAAAGAGGTGGCTCTCGTGCCCCAATGGATAACGCTTTGACGTTTGAAGCGATAAGTACTAGGTTTGAGTCTCGGTGGGAACAACATCACTAACTGGGGCGCGGATACATCCGACTGAAGAGTCCCAAGTGGGACGAAACCCGCGTCCTGGATTCCACTACTAGCTACCACGCAATCATAAATAAGTAGTTGATTTATCAAACAAATGATCCGACACCACGGTGCGACCATGACGATTGAAACTCATCGTTTGCAACAAAGTGAGTGGTATGTACGACATTGAACCATGAACAATGTGTGAAAAAGTTAAGTGATGAAGTGTGTTAAGAATTTTTCGGAAAAAGCCATAATACTAACTTTCCTCCATACTTGCAGTAAATGAAGAGATATAGCAAACACTCTGATCGTAAGGAAGGATGAAAGTAAGCTATTCATCACCTCATTTTATTCAGATTAGAACACTCAACCTAAATGTTAGCTCTCCACAACATAAGTGAATGATTTCACGAGTCGAAGATGAAGTGTGTAAATCGCTGGATCACTCCAAATTGTACTTTATCACGTATAAGATTTACAAGGGAAGTTTCAAAATCCATATAGCTATGGTTCAAAATAAAGCAAATATATTATTGCTTTGAGGTTAATGGGGATCTGCCGCGAAACCTGAAGACCCTGCGTTCGACCCCCGGTGGGGTCATGGATGAGCACTGCTGCGGAGTCCCATACTATGACGAAACAGCTGTCCAGTGCTCCCGGGTTTTCAATGGTTCTCTAGCTGATGTCAATCCATCGTGAATAGTAACCTTGAAAATTATTATTATCATACAATCAGATTCATCTCAGTTTTCAAGTTAAGTCACTTTAACTCATATCCATGAAAAATTTGTGCATTGTGGAGAAAATCAATATTTGTAATAAATGTTCGCACACTGATGTTATTGAGTTTTTTTTAGTCATTTAGTGGAAAAAATAATCGCAACAACCGGTGTGGTCACGGGCAGTCATTTTGCCCGAAATATTACCGAAACTAAATGACATCATTGTGTATCCCAGCCCTCATACAAAATATGAACTTACAATATAAAATGAAGATATTGAAGCAGTTAACAAACTTTTCTGAGAACACTCAAGCTCTCTGTACTACGAACTTCTTACTAGATTACTAAATTTATTGCTGTTATATTGCTTTCGTTGTTTTTACATATGAACAACTGTATTTTTTATTACCATTTTCGCTTTTGTCTTTATCTTCATTTCACCTAGCTGCTCTCCATAGGCTTAGACTTCTGGTCTGTCTGTACCGCTTGGAGCCGCTGAACAGTTACCCCCCTCCCCCCCTAAAGCTGTCCTACAGCACGCCGTTTAAGCTCGCCACCTTCAACGTCCGCACCTTGATGTAGATCGGACAACAGGCAGGTTTGACTAGGACTCTGGAAAGCCTCAATATTGATGTATGCAACATCTCAGAGACCCGCGTACAAGATCTCAGTGAAGTGCTTCGATCTTTTTCTCTTTTCTGTCAGCTCGAAAAGTATGTTTCATGTGCACTTATCCAGAGACCCTGCAGCATCGGCAGCCAACGTCGCTGGTGTCGCACTAAGCGCTCGAGCTGAAGCTGCACTACTCGACTGGATCCCCATCAACAGTTGTCTGTGTGCTTTTAGGCTAGAAGGTTTGTCTCGAGTAAGAAGTAGACAGCAAGAGGAACGATGTCTCTTTATCATATCTGCCTATACTCCGACGGATCGTAACCCGGATGCAACCAAGGATGAAATCTATCATTAACTGAATGACCTTCTCAATCAAGTGCTCTCGACAGATATCGTAGTGCTAGCTAAGGGACTTGAATGCCAAGGTCGGGCGTCTAGGCTCAAAGGAAAGTCATTTAGGTGACCAAAGAAGACTAGTTGGCAGCGGGTCTAATAATGGGTATCGTCTTCTGCAGCTCTGTTCAGATCACAAGCTATTTCTAGCCAACACTAACTTCCAGAACAGTCATCGCAGTTGTACTACTTGGCGTCCTCCCTCTGCCACCCAAGCTTGGACTCAAACAGATCATATTGCGACCAGCTACTAATGACGTGGGTGCAAACAGGACTACCGCACCATGTGGGGTATACTTGTCTGGAGTCTTATAATGCTTTAGTGTATGCTAAGTTCATCTTGCCTTTTAGTGGTTATCGAAATCGTTGGTTTAAACAGTTTGATGCAAGCAAATTAGTTGCACCTAGGTTTGGGGCTAGCTATTGATCCTCCAGAAAGTGTAGAGAAGCATTGGGTGCACTCGCAAGATGCAATGACAATGATGAGTAAAGCCGCTTGCGGCTTGGAAAAACGTCCTACTAATAAATCCTGGGTCTCTGCGACCTCCCCACAACTTCAAGCACATCGGACCATTCCGGCAGATAGCAAGTACAATGGTTCGCATCTCTTACACGAAAGGTTACACAATGCTTACGCAGGGACCGTAAGGCTTGGTGGTCAGAACGCGCGGGTGAAATGGAAGCAGCACCTGCACCTGGCAATAGTCGGAAGCTGTTCCAACTCATCCCAGCTACCGGCAGCAAGAAGCCTTCTGTCAGTGAGACAGTCTGTGAGGTAGATGGTACGCCGATTAACAATCTTCAAAGAATATAAACATCTAGGCCATAGTTGTTTTCCATCTTCTAAACAAGTTAGGATTATATTAAAACTTAATTATACAATAATAACCATCAAAGACGCCTTAAACGCTGGGCGGAGCACTTCGAAAAACAGTTTAGTTGGCTCAAGGCTCCAGAATTGTCAGCACCAATGTATCGTGCTCCGTGGTCAGTTAACATTGACCCACCTAACGAAGTGGAATTCCATGGGGAACTACTCCAAGTTTTGAAACGCCATAAAGCACCCGGCCCAAACAACCTACAGCTGGCTCATTTTAAGGACTGAAAAAAGACTATAGTCAGGGAACTGACTAGATTCTTTGAGAAGGTATGGCAGACTAAGAGTGTTCCATCACTCTGCAATGAAGCCATCATTGTGCCCATCTTTAAAAACGGTCTACGTAATGCATGTGAAAATCATCAGGGTACTAGTCTGCTACCAATCGCATCGAAAATATTGGCTCCTACCATAACTTCCCAGACTTTGCAAAACATGTGAGAAAATGATTCACGAGGAACAGGCCGGACTTCGTTCAGGTCGTAGATGCAATGACCACGTGTTTACCTTCCACTAGATGTTTAAACATCACCATACGTATTGCAGGCCAACAGTCGTTGTGTTTCTTCACATTAAGGCTGCCTCCGATTCGCTGTACTCTGCAACTTTCTGTTACAGAAGAGCCTGTCTCAGAAATTTATCAACATCTTAGAAGCCTTGTATTATTACAACTCAGGTAGAGTGACGGCAAGCAATCATCTCTATCCACTGTTCCCAACCAGCAGTGGGGTTAGGCAGACTTGCCCGATTTCTCATTCCTCTTTAACTTTGCCATCGACGACATTCTTTCAACAGCTCTGAACGAGCTGCATGATGGTGGTGTGGGTCTATTAACCTGAAGACGGCTATTCCACCTTGAATATAAGGACGATATCGACATACACGACGATAACACATAGGATACTCAAATCACATTCAGTCAGTTGGCGAGTAGTGTCCGTAAGTATGCCATGTGTTTTTCACCATTGAAGTACAAAGTTCTTTTGCAAGTTTGACAGGACCCCGTATCTGCCCTCACCCTTGATGGTGAGCTGTTGGAAGTAGTCGGAATGTTCATGTATCTGGATAGTTGTGTGAGTGCTGGTGGAGGTGTGAGTGATGAAATTTCTAACCGTATATCGAAAGCCAGAGTGACATAAATCAATATGAGCCACCTTCGATGCCCTCGTGACGCTAGTCTGACTGTAAAAGGTCAGGCTTATAACGCTTCGGTACGAGCAGTTCTGATCTACACTTGTAAAACCTGGCCTCTGAGCTGAGGATATGCGACGACTCCGTGTGTTTGATCATCGTTTTCTTCCTAGGATTGCTCGTATTCAGTGATAACACCATGTAAGTAATTCTGAGGCACGACAGTGTGTGTTTGGGCATGATAGAAATCGTCATTCACTAAGTGAAGCCATCTTGAAACACTGGGTTCCGTGGTTTGGACATATGTAATGCATGTCTTCCCAACGGCTTCCATACAATTCATTTTTTGCTAGCCCTGGACCTGAGACTGGATGGAAGAAGCAGAGGGGTGGTCAATGTACGAAGTGATGCCGTGGGATGAGGGATAGTTGTATCAGGTTAGCATCTATTGGTACATCATGACTCCAACTCAACTCAGAGACCTCAAAAAGGCATTCTACATCTCTCCACATCACTCAAACTGAGAACCAGTGACTTCACTGACTGGTACCACGTCTTCGTTTGACCATCCTCAACCCTCTTTAAACCGAATCCAACTTCCCCTAAGAACATGGCACGTCGAAGTAGGCAGTGGATGGACACGCGCAGTACACGCCAGTCGAATATGGTTCACAACCTCATCAATCGACTGAATTGCCTGTCTTACCTAGTACCCTTCGCCTGACCTCAACACTACTCACATGCTGATTCCATCAGACGCGACCAATACTACGAAGACACGTGTGATCGGAACCCTGTAACTGCTTTGTGTCTTCTACTTTCAACGGGCATGTCTCACAAATATATAAGAGGAAAGAATGAACTGCAGCTCAGTATACTCATTCTTTGATAGGTAGTCAGATATCTCTGTAGTTAGTGCCACAGATGAGGTAGTTTGGAAAATGCTTAACGGGTTTTCTGTATGTGATCTGAGATTTTGTCAACAACCAGGCCGTTTGAACTGATGCAGTTCCGCAAGTGAGTGAATTGGTCGACATATTCTACCACTTCACTGCTTATCGTTAAACTGAGAGTACTTGTGACAGACCATTCGTGGATCATCATCTCACATTATTGGAAAGAATAAATATGTATGAAGCTTTTATTCGATGAGTAAACTTTGAGTGATTCTACTCTAGATATTACTCAGTTGGGAGTTAATTGTCTGGAAGCCTTGAACATAGGTCTCGTGCTTGTTGACACTCTTCAGAAAGAGGTATATCTGAGGAATAAAATGTATCGTTAAGTTGGCTAAGTGGCTAAATTTTAAACTTTGATCAGTGCTGACAAATTCAAATTGAATGGAATCGAATTTATTCGGCAACCTTGTGTGCATTCATGCAGTAGGTGATCAGCCAGAACTATTTTCTGTATGAGCGTTAATGATGCTACTGCCTGGCTGCCCAAACCACTTCAAAAGATGGAGCAGCGTTCGATCCCATGACCCATTGATTGAAAGTCACCTCCCTAAACCAATGGATCCACACACAGCTTCACTACTGAGGAATTGGGACTCGACAGCTACATCTGTTACTGTCCAGTGACTAATCTGTCTAATCAGCTATGTCTAACCAACTCGTAGTTGATGCACATTTTTGAGAGCAGTTTGCTTTCATGGAGTTTTGAATCGGAAACTGAGAGTGCATACTTTACCATGGAGTGATAAAATGCCAATAGAAGTTTATCCATAAACACGCGCATATGTAAATGTATATATATATATATATATATATATATATATATATATATATATATATATATTATATATATATATATAAAGATCTCAAAAAGAAGAAGTGGAATTATTTACCAAGAAAATGATACCTTCCCTTGAAGAATCGAGCACACAATTTTGGTGCAGTCAACGAGATCAAACAGTCTGGTTGTATATTGTTGGCATTTCCTAATAATGGCCCCGTTTCCACATTCCATCCTGTTATTAAAAACATCAATGCACAAAATATTTTAAGTAGGTATCAAAACTTTTCTTGTTGCAAAGAATTAGAACTGTTTTTCACTTCTTCCCATTATGCCACTGAGAAATCTGCACCTAAGGTAGAATGACAGACGCCAAAAAAATGAAAGTCCAGTAAAATGAAGAGATATTCCTCCGACTAATATAAATGAAAATTCCCCATAGGTTTTTATACGCATCTTGTTTATAGCTTAGAGGGTGTTTACCAGCATCAGCCGCCACTGTTATTCCCTTTCTGGGTCATCCTTTTGCGTTGGAGATAAGTTTCGTCTAAAGGAGCATGGTATCGTGCATTTGTTGGCCTCTTGGCCGAACTGTCCATGATACGTGAATATGTCATGTGGTGTTTTTGGAGTAAGTGATCATTGCCTGTCAGAAGTGCGCTTACGGCAAACTGACAGTTGGCAGTTTAAGATAACGATCGAATTAGCAATAGTTTCTCCTGTAAAAACAGGAAAACTATATCCAGAAGTGATAATATGCTACTTATCTTGAAAACAATCGCCAATTCTTACGAGCATGCGCTAAAATGGTTGATGTAAAAGCCTGTAGTCATCTTACTGTATTTCAGTGTTAAGTATCAAAGTTAAATATATGAAGTAACAGAAACTAATAGGAGTAGGGGTAATATATTACCACTCCGTTCTTGATTGGGACATTAGTATTTCCACTGCTTAGTTTTGAAGACAGTCTCATTAAATGGTTCACTTAGACACAGCACAACAACAATTTTAAGTAGCGTCACTTAGGCGAATGAAGTGATGTATGTGATTTGAATTAGAGTCAAGACCTACTGAGGTCATTGTCTTGTCTATTTCGCGCTGAGCTAGACTATAAGATAAATTTATATTTATATTACTGCAGTCACGCTTAGGAACTATTATGCTTATTGGTCTTCAGCAAGATACTGGACATTAATAGAGAAGTAAATCTTGGGCACTGTGGTAGAATGTAATTCTATTTTAGTTGATTTATTAGATTTACCACACAGTGGGATAGTACCATTTACTAGATTACAGTTCGGACATAATTTATAGTCCATAGTCATATCAAGATCAACTAAAATGGAAAATACTGGACAGTTTATTTTACTGTCGAGGAGCCATTGAACAAGAAACAAAGGATACCCTCCATAATCTTACCGCTTCATCCTTCATGTATCAATTTAACTGTTCCCGTGGAACAAGTTACATAGGGTGTACGATTAGGCAGGTGCATCTGTCGATACGACAGCACTTACCGGGTTGGTTAGGAAAAGGTGAAGCGAAAGTGATGATAAGTTCCGTCCTACGGCATCAACATAGATGGTAATAAAGTTCTCAGTTTCATATATAATATTCCGAAAACAATACCACGTGTAGCTCACCAACGCCTACTAAACACAGCTGAGGCTGTCGCATTAAGACTAGTCAATCTTGAACCGTGTATTCAGAAAGATCATGTTTAAACGTTATTCCTTCCTTGGCCTTCAGTAAACCAAAGGCTACTCCTGTCTTCTTTATTATTTGTCTTTTCGTTCACTATCACATTTTTCATCTGTATATATGTCATCAATTTCTTTACATTCCTAAAATGTCACTCCGTTTTGAAAATCTGTCTGCCTCTAACTCGGCTTGATTTTGCACTATACAAATGCACTTGATAACTGTAGAACCTGATAAGAATGTACTGAAAAGAATATTTTTGATTCAGACTGTTGCTTTTTATCAATGTTATGGGAGTCCTTAGATGTTTGAAAACTATTCTTTACTTATTTTTTAGAAATGATGAACAAAGAGGGAATATGTTTACCTGATGGAACATCAATGGATACAACAGGAACTTGTGTCGTCGACATGATCTGTAGGACATTACTAAACTCTGAACTCACAGGGGGTTTGAAACCAAATCCAAAAAGTGCATCGATAAACAAATCATAAGAGTGAGATATATTAAGTGCCTGGTTAATTAAGAACAAAGAAAATTAGCAATATGTTGAACCTTTTATTCAAAATGGGAAACATTAATAACATATAAAGCAAATAGCTTCTGCAGGACAATAAAGGTGATTAGGGATGCGAAGATATGGTAAAAGGAGGCAGTACAATGTAATGGTAACCAACTTGTACATCAATCAAAGTCAAAATTTTAGGGACTAACTTAGCATAGCTACGTGGTAATATACAGTGAGAGAATATGTAGTATCAGGCTACGAAGTGAAAACTAGTTATAAGCAATGCGTTGATTACCCACCCCTGCACTATCAACAAACACTCATAAAAGGGTTTGAGTCTATAGGCTACATGATATACGGTTGCAGCATGCACAACGGAATCGAGGTGTTAGATGGATTGATTAGCTGCTTGACAATCGGTACTTGCTTTTTAGGTAAACGACTTGCAGACACGAAGAAACTATGATCAAACTTTTTTAGCTGATGCACACCAAGCAAACAACTGAAAACTGTTGTCTATCACCTTCAATTCCATTCTGGTATGAAATGATGACTATGTAGTAATTAGGTGTACATTTACAACCTTTGGTTGCTCATAACTAATGATAATAGTATCTCACACTAAAAGGGAAGAATACAATGGACAAAAATAGTTTTCAAGTTGGTATTCATTGTAGACTGACATCAGTTGGACTGTGACCCAGCAGCTCAATGGTAACGTGCTGGTCACGGGTTCGATCCCTGGCGGGGTCGTGGATGTGCACTGCTGAAGAGTCCCATACTAGGACGAAACAGCTGTCCAGTGCCCCCAGGTTTCAATTGATCCTCTAACTGACGTCAGTCTACGATGAATAACAACTTAAAACATCTCTAAATCCACACAAGCCACTCAAAATTCAAAAATAGTTTTACTTAGTCATGATCAGTTGGACATGATAATTTCTTTGAGGGCAAATATGAAAAATAGTAATCATATGCTTCACTACATGACTATTTCAGAAAATATCAATGTCAATAGCCTTCCGTGTTTACAGTTATTCTTTGAATAGGCAAGGTCAATAATATTAATTCAGAATAACCAATCAAGTATAAGGTCGAGGAGTTCGATCCAGTATAACAACGGGAAATTACATGTAACAATAAGTAAGAACTGATACTCATTACACAAGAGGTGGTTCTCGTGTCCCAGTGGCCTAGTAGATAACGCTATGGCGTTTGGGGCAATAGGGACTGGGTTCAAGCTTCAATGAGAGCAACATCACTCAGTGGGGTGCAGGTACATCTAGCTGATGAGTCTCAAACAGGAGGGGATGCAAGTCCTGCATTCCACCGCTAGCGACCAAGTAAACTACATAGTCACGTATGATATTTAACTTTTTTCTTTGGTTACCCTCTTTCACTTTCCTAATGCAAACTTTAACAGTACTAGAAGTGCGCAGTAAGCGAAATGTATCAACAAAATTCAGTGTATCTGAAGATGTAACAGTTCATTTAGCTAAAGAATTCCACATAGTACACCACCAGGTTGTTCTTTTATTATTGTTAGGAGATTTTGGAAGAAAAAACATGTGTTGCCGTTACAACTAACTTGGCCTCATTCGGGATTCATAAATTTCTATACGCCCTACTCCCCAACCTAATTTCCAGCTTCTCATCTCTATAATCTGAAATAGTTTTATAACATTCTCTTAGCCTATTTTATTCCCTAATACAAGTAACGTTTTACTAAGTTATTATTTTAGAAATTATCGACCCGTGTTTATCGCATCCTACTTTTAGGCATATCCACCTATAGTTTTCATTACTGTCAGAATATATATTACTAAACAAGTTGGGAAGCTAGAAACCATTCAGGCTGATCTGTAGGATTTGCCAGTCAGATCAGTTTGTAAATCGTATGCAAATTGACCATCCTATTAGTTAGACTATCTTTGTTGATGCTGTTTTTCCCTATGGGAAGGGAGTGGGGTATAAAAGGTCAGCCTTAAAATAATACACAACCATCAACCCTTGCCTGCGACCGGAATTCTTAGGTGGATTCAGAAACAAAACACAAAATCCCAAACTTGCGAAAAGGCCATGTGCGACCGCCTCAAGCAGATGTTCCAAGGGCTCTGTGGTAACATACCATCTTCTCTTTACAGGTACCTCTAGAATAACTAGCCTTCCCAGTGCAGGCAGCCGGGAAGTGTCAACCGCCCACAGTATTCCAGTAGTAAACAAAACCCAATAAGTGATATTAGCGGAACATATGGAATTAGCTAAATAAAGAATGACGGACCCTAATAAAATCAATAATTTAGAAGAAAACTCGGCTAATGCAGTGGATGCGTTAACATACAACCACACAATAGGGTGGAATAAAATTACTGTACTTAAGTTCAATGTAATTAAGAGGAGAGAGAGATTGATTAGTGAATCCTTGTTCATCGAATCAACACCCAATATATATAACAGAAGTAAAGAAACATCTATACAGAGCTATGAAAAATTTTATTACCAACAAAACAAAGAATATGAGGTGTGAAAAGACTAAGAAATCAGATTTCGAAAGGAGTGTGCTTACATACTGATATTATTATGAGCAATAATTTATGCTCTAAACGTCATCAAGTAAATAATACTTTATCACTGTTATAAATCAAAGAAACAAATCTAATATGGAATTACATTCTACTACAGAACCCAAGTTTTCCCACTTATACCAACCAAACATAACCTATTCGTCTCAGCTCTGTCTCCTCCGCCTTCACTTCCTAATACTAATATAAGGCCTCTCACACTTCACCCAGAGTCTCACTCTGCAACCATTACCAGTGATTAAAACCATCAAGACCTCATTCCTGGTCTCCTAAGACCCTGTCATCGATTTCGTGTAGTAGTTTTCAATGTCCAAACTTCACGCGAAATCGGGCAGGGAGCATCACTCGCCAAAATTCCGGAATCTATAACCATAGATATATGCTATGTTTCTAAGACACGTATACAGGATTTGATTGTGTTCAGTGAATTCACCTCACCTGGTCACATTAATGAATCTTCAAGATTCATCTTACGAGAATCCAGAGACCCAATAACTAGTTCCATGAACTCGCTTGTGTAGGTATAGGGTTGAGTTAGAGAATAGAAAGTGCGCTTGCCAACTGGATACCAGTAAACAGCCGTCTATGTGCTGTGAGACCAATCGATGCCGATTCGTAATCTCCACTCACCTAAGTACGCAAAGAATGAATCCTATGAACAGCTGCAATTTTGCTACAGAAAGTAAAACGTTTAGACGTAATCATAACGGCAGGTGACTGACTCTAACGCTCAAGTAGGGAAGCTCAGCCAACCGGAAATGCCTCTTGTAGATATTTAGGGAACCGACAAACGAGATTGTTTGTTGCAATTTTGTCCCGACAATCACTTGTTTCTGGTAAGTACCAACTTTAAGCATAAGGAGAGACACTATCTCACATGACATCCGCCGACATCAAACCAACCACGGACAAAGATAGATTGCATTGTAATAAGCCATCGTTAGAGGACGATTGCTGCTCTTTCTGGAGTACCAGTCTGGAATCGGATCATGCGTTAGTACGAGCTCGTGTATTTCTGCACTTTACTGGCCACAGGAAACAGGTGGCATTAAAGCCTTCTGTGTTCAATTGGTAGATGAGAACGCCAAGCATCCATTCAGAGAGGAGTTACCTAAGTATTTATTTGAACGTGGTAGCAACGCTCATCCTGAGAAACTTGGCGTGATATTAAGTCTACTATAGAAACACTTGGTAACCTATACCTGAAGGTTAACAAACGTCATTGGATTTCCAAAAAGTCATCCGAATTGGTTGATCGCTGAAGAGTGACTTCAGCTGGCTGTCTCTGACCACTATAAAGAGCGAAAGTAACTTAAACGTGAGTTGACGAAGAGCTTCCGCCTTGATCGTGAGCAGTGGTAGGTGACGAAAGCAAGAGAGATGGAGAAGGCATCAGAGTTGAGTACCACTCGGTAACTATTCCGGCTTATTAAGGATACTGGCAAAAAGAAGACGATGGTTACTGATGAAACCATCACTGAAAACGATGGGACGCTGATGACCTCCCCACGGCTGGCAGCTAAGACGTCACGCAACACACTTTGAAGCACAGTTCAACTGCACCTTCGCAAGGCCTCAGTCGCCCCAACATCCACCCAGCCCAATCCTGAATGGTACGTAGATGTCGGTACTCCAACTCTCCTCCATAAAGTTAAGAAGACTGTATCGAACTTGAAACGATGCAAAGCTGCTGGATCTGATAGTTTGCCCCCTCAAACTTTTGAGGAATGGAAGCAGGAAATTACTGATTACGTCGACGGAGCTACTGTGCAGTGTATGGGAATCAGAGGTAGTACTGTCAGACTGGTCTACTTCTCTGGTCATCCCAGTGTCTATACAAAAAGTGAGGAGTCTTCTTGTGACAGCCGTAGGCGAAGTAGTTTGACTAATCTTGTGTCCAAGATCCATCGTTATCTAACGCTTAACTCGAGAACACTAATCGGTTTCCAGATATGAACGTGGGTGCATCAATCATATTTCTACCCTACAACATGTTCTTCGATACAGATAATTTACCGGTAAGCGGCAGACACTTGCCATACTTCTTGATCTGAAGGCGGCATTCGACTCCGTCAACTGTGAGGCGTTGTGACAGTGTCTGTCTATGGAAGAAGTATCGAACACGTAGATGATGCTCATCAAAGCTATCTCCTCAAACTCATCCAGCCGTCTCAGGGATTATGTAGAGTTGTCACGTGAATTGACAACAACTTGTGGTGTCTGCCAGGGATATCTACTGTCACCGTTCCTATTCAACTTCGTCATAGAAGTATCAATGGACATAACCTCAGGTACCTCTGATTTCACAGAGATTGACCTACTCCCTGGAGGTCATCTGGTCGACTTGGTGTACACACAAGATATTATTATGTAAGTTGAAGACTGAAAAAACGCAGGGTCTTTTGAACGCGTTTAGCAGGAATCTGAGTATGTTTGGCATACGCCTTGCAGGCACCCGTCAAATGTAAGTTGATGTTCCAGGAGTAGTCTGTTGCAGGTACTCTCAATTTAACGATAAGCAGTGAAGTGGTAGAATATGTCGACCAATTCACTCACTTGCGGAACTGCATCAGTTCAAACGGCCTGGTTGTTGACAAAATCTCAGATCACATACAGAAAACCCGTTAAGCATTTTCCAAACTACCTCATCTGTGGCACTAACTACAGAGATATCTGACTACCTATCAAAGAATGAGTATACTGAGCTGCAGTTCATTCTTTCCTCTTATATATTTGTGAGACATGCCCGTTGAAAGTAGAAGACACAAAGCAGTTACAGGGTTCCGATCACACGTGTCTTCGTAGTATTGGTCGCGTCTGATGGAATCAGCATGTGAGTAGTGTTGAGGTCAGGCGAAGGGTACTAGGTAAGACAGGCAATTCAGTCGATTGATGAGGTTGTGAACCATATTCGACTGGCGTGTACTGCGCGTGTCCATCCACTGCCTACTTCGACGTGCCATGTTCTTAGGGGAAGTTGGATTCGGTTTAAAGAGAGTTGAGGATGGTCAAACGAGGGTGGTACCAGTCAGTGAAGTCGATGGCTCTCAGTTTGAGTGGTGTGAGGAGATGTAGACTGCCTGTTTGGTGTCTCTGAGTTGAAAGGAATCTGTGGTTGAGGACTACTCTTGGTGATATGGGTGAAAACCAGTCACAGTGGTGTAGATGTATTCAGTCATTGCAGTCTTCTAAAACTTGAATATTTGCGCTAACTGTTATCTTCAGATTGTTTATTGTCTTACACAACCTCGTTTACTTTGATTTGAGTCTTTTACTATCCACCTGTTTTTTGTATACTGCTGTGAAGTGTGACAACTTGAGCTGAAGTACCTATATCCGAGGTCCTACGACGATTTTGCCTGTCTGTGTTCATGCAATTTAACAGTCACACTGCACCACATTCCGTTTCGCCTTCTGTTGATGTGAAAGGCTTTACTCGCATAACTGATATCATCAAAGTTAATATCATTCATTTGAACCTTTTAGTGTTACATAGACCGTATAATTAAATTATTTTGAATTGAATTCCAGTAACAATTGATACTGATATTATTGTTCACAGAAAACGTTTCTGGATAATATTACTAACTGTTGTAGGAAACGTGACTATTGTTAATACGAAATTATACAATATGGGTAAATAACTGCGGGATATGAAGTTACCGAAAAGCATATTCTTTGTTTATTTCAACGGATTTTGAATTATAATCGATATATATATATATATATATATATATATATATATATATATATATATATATATATATATATATATATATATATATAAAGATGTGTAAACATAGTAATGATGGATAGTGGCTAGCAGTGAAATCCAGGATGAGCATCTCGTCCCATTTGGGACTTGTCAGCTGGATGTACCTGCCTCCCAGTGAGTGATGTGTTCCCACCGGGACGAGTCCCAAACAGGACGAAATGCTCATCCTAGATTCCACTGCTACCCACTATCCATCTTTACTATAACTAGAACAACAGATATATCGATCCCAGGATCCCATATGCCAATAGAGACTGATCAATTCGGCCCAATCAACGACCGTATAATACAAGCAATAACACTAATATGTAAACATACTTCACTGGTTAAATTTGAAAGAAAGGGAATATCCATCTTTTCACACTGAACAACTAGATTTTTGTATAACTGTTTAGTTGGAGTACGTGGATAGTAGACAGAAGGTTTATAACCCTACAAAAAGAGATTAGAAACATACAATTACAAGTAGTATTTGGATTAGTGAGTTGGTTTGCTTGCGGTGGTTGAATGAGTTGTGCAAAGGAATAACATGTGAACCACAGGTTCAAAAACTCCAGTCTACCTAATGAGATGTGTAGTCAGTCTAGTACATGGACGTGTATATGCCTGTTAAGTTACATTACTATTCTACTGTCCCCAAGTCAACGGAAGTTAAAAGGAGTTATTGGAGAACTTTATCTGTTATGATAATATTTACCTTAGATTCATTTTACTTAGAATTTGTGCATGTAAGTCCAAAGTGCATAATAAATTAGCAAATCAGGAAAGTAAACAACTAAAGCATTTGTGTTAAGAAAGCCGAATGATACCTTTTTATGCAACTATTTATTACTTCTGTATGGCAAAACAAATTAAAAGTCACTTGGACGCTTTTAAATATGGCTTCCTAACAACATATTCATCAGGAGATTCTTTACAACATGTGAGGCGATAGACTGAAAGACAATAATAATAATAATTTAGAAGTAGTATTCATCATGAACTGACATCAGTTGGGGAACCATTAGAAATCTGGGAGCACTGGACAGCTGTTTCGTCCCAGTATGGGACTCCTCAGCAGTACACACTCACGACCCGGTTAGAGATTGAACTCACCACCCTCAGGTTTCACGGCGAACGCGTTAACCATTCAGTTACTGGGTCGTGAATTGACAGAAGTTGAGAATTGTGAACCACTGGAAACCCACCCAGTGACTGAATGGTTAACGCGTTCGCCGTGAAACCTGAGGGTGGTGAGTTCAATCTCTAACCGGGTCGTGAGTGCGTACTGCTGAGGAGTCCCATACTGGGACGAAACAGCTGTCCAGTGCTTCCAGATTTCCAATGGTTCCCCAACTGATGTCAGTCCATGATGAACACTACTTCTAAATTAAAAAATTCCCATTTGTCTCAAAAATAATACTAATAAGTTTCCCATTTCCCGCTAGTCATTTTTCCCCTGACATTATATCTACAAGACGCTAGCGAAATTTTGTGGGATGATAATCGTGAAACTTTGATATTTCATCCCTTCCTCTATCTTCTATATATTCCATGTTTGTAGGTTATATCCAGATAAATCAAATAAAATTTATGATACCTTTTTATTTTTGTATCGTTGTTAAGGTAAGAAACTAAACAAGGTAACTGACAACTAACTAACATCCAAAAAGTGCACCGTGATGGCGAGCTTCCTAGTTTAGTGGTCCCATTTCAAAATGATAGATAAAGTTCAGTCAGCCAACAGGACTAGACAAAGAGATATTGGCTTCTGTTCAGTGATCAATCAATGTAAGGCTAGTGTTTGCATGTCATTAAGAAGAGGAAGATGCAGACGGAGAAGGCGAACAAGAAGAAGTAAGAAAACACATTTCAACTTACAAACATTTTAAGGTGTCGAGCACAAACCAAACCATCTCCACCATTATTCCCTGGTCCACAGAAAACAAGTATAGAACCGTCAGCTTTAGATAATTCTTTCAGTGGATAAGCCTGTATTGTAAAACAAAAAATTATTTATGATAAGGATTTTATAAATGAATTATAAGGAAATCTTTAAATAATACCAAGGGTAAGAACTATCATATCTTTGTGATGCTTTTTAATAAACAACGCGAAACATAAGAACGAAATGCACCCAGTAACTGTGTGCACGTTTATGCAGCAGGCAATGAGTCACACCTGTTGTGTGAGGGCTTATGATACTACTTGACTGCTCCAGACCTAGGTAGGTGGAGAAGGGTTCGAACTCGTGACGTATTGGCTCAAAACCAACTATCTACACCAATGGGCCACAGCTTCACACTTTGTTAGCGAACTACACTAAAATTACCTTAAGATTCCTGAGCAAAGATTTGTTGACAATTTCACTTTTATTCTCTGAATACAAAATGATGAAGATAACGGAACAAGTTGGGTTTTTTTGACCAAATACACACTAAAAACGCTTAATTGCTGGCAAGTTTACCCGAAAATGACCATTTACAAGCACAGTTCATACGCTCTATTTCGTAACGCTAGATATTGCTCACTACTACCAAACATTTCATCGTGATTCTAAGCCAATTGCTAAAGAAAGATAAAAGTAAAGAAAACTATTCTACCAAACTAGGCTACTCAATCATAGATGATTTGTGAGATGTGAAAACAATTTCAACTCATAAGTTTGAGGGAAGCCTGATCCTAACTCAATGGGTAACGACTCTTATTTTGCACAGCTTACCTCATTCTCACTGCCTATCGTTGAGTTAACTTATCATTTGATCAAAGAAACTGGTTTACCTCTAACAACAGGATTTAAATAAAGATATTTTCCCGAGTATTATAAGCAAATTGTGTTGTGTCAAATAGGACCAAAAGGAAATAAGCATTCCATCCCATTACATATACCTAATTGCGAATGTGATAAAACAGGTTCAGATGTTTTCATACATATGTGTGATAGAATTTCGACAACCATCACTCAACAGATACAGTACGACTGAGAGTTTAGCCCGATTTGAAGATACTTGTGCACCATGTGAGCATGAAACCGATCACTTCATGGACAGAAGACCACCTACACCCTCCAGTTTACGTCAGCCTATGATGTAATAATAACTTTCACCACTGTTGTAGTTTAGATGTACCTGAACTACGCAATGAGATTTTACAGTTGAATACAGATGAGAAACCTATGAAAACTAATCCAGGAGTTTATATGGAATTTTCGTTCAGATACATTCCGTACATAAGCTATACATCTACTTCTCAGGGAAGATGCTACCGATCATGATTTCCATTTTGTTCATCAAAGTTCGAAAGAAATTAAGTTTTCGCTACTGTTAACTGTTGTTGATGATCAAATGTATTTGTGATTACTACAGCTCATAACCCCCAGAAAGAAACCATTACAAATTCAACCTCCATTCAGTTTGTCAGAAATTCAATGGAATCAGGATTTCACTATCATTACCGATTAATGGTCATACATCATTTCATGGAGGTGAAAAGCCTTTCTGATAAGGAGATGGGGACGTGGTGAGTTACCACTGTCTAGAGAGACATGTGATATAGATATGAGCTTACGTCAAGCCATGTCTAACAATGTTCTCATTGCATATCGTTGTTCTGTGACAAATGTTATATTTCTATCGGTTGGCATTACAGTACCATTGAGTCTGCGTCATTGTAACTGTGTTAGTGTCAACACAGGTATTTAACATGTGGACTGCAAACACTGTAACTGAGGCGAATACATTGCATGAGACCCAGAAATCAGGTCATACAACCAGTCTATCAAACAGTCCTAACAACTAGTTAACACAACCTCAGTCACATGGTATTAAATAGTAACATAGCTACAACAGTATAAGCTCAATAGCATTCTTAATGACAACCAATAGAACAATAGTAGTATTAACAACAGTCACAAAACAGCAATAGCCAATGAGAACCTTTTTAGACATGGCTTGATCAAAGGCAAACTCATATCTGCATCAAATATCTGTCTACACAGTGACGGGTCATCGCACAAAAAAAATGCAGCTATGGTTCATTAGTTCAAGCGGTTGAATTTCGACAAGTGTGTCGCAGGCTTGGACCCTGAATGACCTACAGAGGTTTGGACAACCAGGTAGTATCATCGGTACTCAAATAATAGGTGAGATTCATTTGTCTAGTGTATAGTCTGAATGTGATTGTTCAGTTGAGCCTATTTGGAGCAAGAAATACATTATCTGGTTGCTTTAATATTAAACAATTCGCTTTTCGAAAAGTATCGCTTACCATCTAGTTTTCTGATGTTTAATGGTGAACGTGGAAAAAAGATGCAGTAAAAAAAACTAACATGGAGAAGTCTAAATGCAATGCTGTTTCAATGATATTGCGCTCATCTTCATAAAAGGACAATTTATAATTTCTAGGCTTTGAAGTTTAGAAAATTGTATACTCATCGTAATGAACATATCCCACCGTTAAAGTGAATGCAAAAAAGATGGTTGAGTGTATCATTATGTTATCGGTTTCGTGTAATCCAGATGTACCAATTGAAACAATTATTAAAGTGGGAGAGGGGGCTCGTCGGCACCCATTAATTTCAAGGTAGTAAATACCAGGGATATCCATCAGATGGAGAACCACTGAAAACCTAGGTCTCCTTAGCAATGTGCACCCACGACCTTGCGGGAGTTGGAGCACAGGACAGTCAGATCTTTCAATCAGTATGATACCACTCAGCCAGTGGGATGAAATCTAGTGATCTGTCTTCGTAATTTGGCAAGATCGTCATTCAAATTAGGACGAAGGAGTTGTCTCCAACTGAGTTAAACGTGATAATAACAACTTAGAAACCAATGAATCATAAATCCATATTTGAATTACATTCTAGTTCTTACAGGCGAACATCGCCCAGTTAACTAGTTCACTAGCCGATCCCAAGCCCGGGTAAAGAGGGGAGGTTGGGCATAGAGCTGGCAACCCCACCCCGTAAAACCAATCCAATCGCTAAAGAAACTTCAAAGCACAAACAAAATATAGAAAATAAAAACAAACTTATTCCTCGCTGGAATCGGAGAGATGAAATGGCGCCGGTTGATGAAAGCCTTCGGGAAGCCAGTCGGCCGATGTGTCTTCACTTGATGAAAGCGAAAGTAAACATAGGGACGTGGAATGTCAGCACCATGTATGAACCTATCAAGGCTGCCTAGATTGCAAAAGAGATGAGGAGGTACGGCATGGAAGTGCTTGGAATCTGCGAAAGCAGGTGGAATGGGAGTGGACTCTTCAAACTCTTAACTGGAGAGTCAATAATCTACTCCGATATTGCCACCCAGACGACAACAACGAGCACACAGAGGGAGTGGCTATCATGATTTCCCCAAGAACATCGAAGGCTCTCATGCAGTGGGAACCAACCTCCTCAGCTATCACGATCATGACAGCAAGATTTGCAAACTTCTACACATTCAACGATTTGGTGATTAGAGACAGTGTGTACAAACACAAGGATATTCACAAAGCGACACAGATTCGATTTCACCAGATGAACACACTGAAAATCAGATCGACTTTATCTCAATCTCAAGAAAGTGGAGACGCAGCCTACTTGACACAACGTCAAGAAGGGGAGCAGATGTAGGTTCAGACCACTAAATAGTGCAAGGGACCTTCACAATCAAGTTGAAAGCCTTGAAGGAAGTTGGTGATAGACAACAGTTCAACACCCAGAAACTGAAGGACAAAGCTACAAGAAACACCTTCACGTCAGCCATCAGAACAAAATGGGAGATATTGAGCAACATCCCTGAAGGATCGGGCGTGGAAGAACACTAGAACTCCTTGAAAGAGATGTGGAAAGCAACTCGCATAACCGTATTAGGAAGGAAGAGGAAACAAGACAAGAAATAGATCTCGACGGACACATGGAAGCTGATAGAGGAGAGGATGATGGTGAAGCAAAAGATGAACCAGTTCAAGAGGAACTGAGTACAACGTATAAAACACTACATGAGACAAAGAAGTGAAGAAGAGTGCACACAAAGACAAAAAACACTTCTACGACACATTGGCAACTGAAGCAGAACAGGCTGCTGGTAGGAAAGACTACGCAACAACATTTTATCAAATAACCAGGTTACTATCCGGGAAGAGATCAATGCAGACGAAACCAATGAAAGATAGTGAAGGAAACTTAGTTACCAAAGAGGAAAAACAAAAAAAAAAATGGGCTGACCACTTCAAAAAACTCTTGAGTCGACTACCACCACCACCACCTGCAACTCGCCCAGAAATACCACCAGCAAGGGGAGAACTGCCAGTGAACACAGGCCCTCCGACGAATGCAGAAGTCCAGAACGCCATAAAACTGCCGAGATCCAGCAAAGCAGCAGGACCAGATGGAATTCCACCAGAAGCACTGAAAACAGACGCAGAGACAATAGAGGATATACTCACACCACACCACTACTGCAGAAGGTTTGCAAGGAAGGAAAGGTACCTACTGACCGATTGGAAGAAGGGCTACCTTGTCAAACTTACAAAGAAGGAAGACATAAGCCTTTGCAAGAACTGGCGCGGAATCATGCTCCTGTCTACCCAATGCAAGCAAAATATTAGGCCGCATCATCCTGGAGAGACTAAAGGATGCGCTGCATTCAAAACTACGACCGGAACAGGCTGGATTCAGGAAGAACAAATCATGTGCGGACCAAATTGCAACGCTACGCTACGCACCATCATAGAACAGCGCATAGAATGGCAGTCAACTCAACTCTACCGCAACTTCATCGACTTTGAAAGCTCCTTCGACAGCGTCGACCGAGAAGCAATTTGGCAGTTGCTTCAACACTACGGAGTGCCACTAATTTTTATCAACCTCATTCAACAACTATATGAAGACGCCACATGCCAAGTGATCCACAATGGAAAGCTCAGAGACGCCTTTATAGTGAAGACAGGAGTAAGACAAGGCTGCCGCCTACTATCACTATCGCCTTCCTGATTGTGGTCGACTG